TCTGCACGCTTGTCTCAATAACAATTACAGTCTGCACGCTTGTCTCAATAACAATTACAGTCTGCACCCTTTGTGGATTTTTTCAATAAAAACAATAGCCTGCACTCATTTCCCAATAGGATTTAATATTTCCCAATAGGATTTTCATATAACTTCTCCAAAACATTCAAGTTTTGAATCTTTTAAGACACACGTAGTTATTTACGTATTTTCGTAGTAAATACGCGTAATTATTTTTACGTAGTTATATTACGTATTTACGTAGTTATATTACGTATTTACGTAGTTATTTTTAGCGCAAGTATTAGCTATTGAAATACTAAACACGCAATAACGCTGCATAAAATATACTTTATCTATATACATAATGCGCATGTCACGCATGACGCTTCATGGCCGTCACTCGTCACGCGCAAGCATGTAGCGTGACATCAAGTGCTGCTGGCTTGGACCTGAGAGCGTGACGCAAGTTACACGCCATATTATAATGAGTAACTTGATAAATACGATATAATATTTGCGCAAATATGTCGCAAGTGTAACCACTTGCTTGTGTCTGTTAACACATGCATAGTCAATGGCTGTGATGTTAGGCACATGACTTCACTAGGCATTAATCTCTGATAGGATTTATTTGAGATTAAGAGGCTATTAAGAGATCAACAGGCAATTATTTTAGATATGATATGCATGATCTGCACTCCCAATACATGCATGTTTGAATGCGATATGCATACTTGAATGTGACATGCATGTTTGAATATTACATGCACGTTTGAATGCATCATGCTTACTTGAATGTGACATGTTTGAATGTGATGACAGACTGGAATATTAGTTTTCATCATTCAACTTAAGCATGCACGGGTTATACACGCGTCACGCTCGCCACGCAGCACGCCACGCTCTGTACGAGCACCAGACCGCTAGTTCAACAAGCCACCATAGCATATGACGTTCAAATAACGCTGAAGAAACGGTGTGTCAGCAAAATCGACTCGTAATCAACGTTTTATCATCAAAATCGACTCAAAATCAAAGTTCTTAAGATGAAATCGACTCGTAAACGTTGTTTCAACGCACCTGACTCGTATTCAACATTATTTCAACATAATTAATCAAGAGGCATATTCATCAACATATTTTCTCACTGTTTTACTACTGAAAATCATGGAAGATATCAACTCATTCGTCAACAATAATTCAATAGCAAAGACAATGCCAGGTAAACTCACCTTATCTTCGGTGAAAACATTTTCAATTAATATCTGATAAATTTACATCGCGTTTTCATTGTATTTAAATTCTTTTTCAACTTGCGCTTTGAGACAAACAAAAAGTATAAAAGTAGTTATATCCGTAATGATATATAAGGAATTATTCGTAAATCAAACTTTCGTAAACCATTTTATCAACATACTCCGGCACTAAAAGAAATGCGAGGAACTTTGTCAGCAACTGGCAATGGGCCTATTTCTTCAGTGCCGACACTTCTATTCTATTCTATTATAAATGAATGTGAATGAAAAAAAGAACAAAGAACTGAGTTGTTTTTAAAAATGGGTGTGCATTCGCTGCAAATTTCAGAGCAGCAGCAGGTGCTCAGATCAGAGTTCTGAGCAGCAGCAGCAGGTGCTCAGATCAGAGTTCTGAGCAGCAGCAGGTGCTCAGATCAGAGTTCTGAGCAGCGGCAGGTGCTCAGATCAGAGTTCTGAGCAGCAGCAGGTGCTCAGATCAGAGATCGCAGTGAGCGCTCGAGAGCCGCTCTCCGGCTCAACGGTCGCGTTCACAGGAGCAGTAAACGCTTCCGGCGTCCCAGGCTCAAGCCGGAGAAAGTTCTGCTCAAGGCTGGCGAGAAGAACTGAGCAGCAAAAACTTGGGTCGTTCATCTCGTGATATTAAATTCAAAACTGCTGCTCACGCCTTGAGCAGTTTGGAAAAAAATCATACGGTGTGTGGAATAAAAGTTTGAGAAAGTTTATGCCGTTAATCGCCGTTGGTCAATTATTGATCGTTTAAATGAGTAGTTCTATACTAATTAAAGAACTAGTTCTGGAGGGATAGATATCAATTTATCCTGACGTACTAAAGAAATCGCAAGAAATAAGAAAGTTATTCTGGAAGTTCTGTTTTTGTTTTTAATTTAGACTTTACTAATTAATCATACAATTGTAATGCATTCTATAATTTTCGAGCTGACACTAGAGCTGGGCTCCAAAACGTTTTCTATAGAAAGAAATGGCGACTTTTTTGTGACATTTTTGCTTTAAAATTTCTAGTTAATCCGTGATTGATAATAACATAAAAAAACTGTACTCGTAGCGATTACGCTTGCGGTACTAAGAATAAATGCACAATAAATAGTATTGCGATTTCAATTATTAATATATTAATAACAACTCGCATTGCCATTGGGAAATTATGATAATGTTCATGAAATATGAAGGTTAATTGCCAAGTGCGAGAAGCTAAAATGGCTACCGGGACTTTGCGATCATGGTTCGCTCGTGTAGATCTTGAGATCAGCATTCCACTCAGGGAAATGTGTAAGACTTTGTCCAAGTAGTGATTCAATGTTCGTTCTAGTGTGGATAATACTGAGCCAGTTTGGCGTGGCAAAATAGCGTATATCATTTCGTCGTCCATTCTCTGGCCCTGCGGTGGTTAAGAAAATGCGTCGCTATATTTGGATAATATGGTCCCTTTAGATATATATGGGTAATATGGTCGTCGCTATGATTGAACAATATGGTCCCTCTGGATATATATGGGTAATATGGTCGTCGCTATGTTTGGATAATATGTTCCCTCTAGATATATATGGATAATATGGTCGTCGCTATGATTGAACAATATGGTCCCTCTGGATATATATGGGTAATATGGTCGTCGCTATATTTGGATAATATGGTCCCTTTAGATTATATGGGTAATATGGTCGTCGCTATATTTGGACAATAGGTTCCGAGATGATAACCCACTTATCTTTTCGAAAACCGTGCACAAAAAGTATCTCTGAAAAATATATGGCGGTGAGGTTATACAGCAACGACGTTATATAATAGCGTCAAGACGTCGGTATAACAGCATTAGGTATAACGCAGAGATCCATCGTTAATTCTCAGGAAACTGATTTTCAGAGANGGGTAATATGGTCGTCGCTATATTTGGATAATATGGTTCCTCTAGATATATATGGGTAATATGGTCGTCGCTATATTTGGATAATATGGTTCCTTTAGATATATATGGGTAATATGGTCGTCGCTATATTTGGATAATATGGTCCCTCTAGATATATATGGCTAATATGGTCGTCGCTATATTTGGAAAATATGGTCCCTCTAGATATAAATGGATATTATGGTCGTCGCTATATTTGGATAATATGGTCCCTCTAGATATATATGGGTAATATGGCCGTCGCTATATTTTGACAATATGGTTCCGAGATGATAACCTATACCTACTTAATTATCTTTTCGAAAACCGTGCAAAAAAAGTATCTCTGAAAAATGTATGGCTATGAGGTTATACGGCAACGACGTTATATAATAGCGTCAAGACGTCGGTATAACAGCATTAGGTATAACGCAGAGATCCATCGTTAATTCTCAGGAAACTGATTTTCAGACTGACGTCACTATGCGTATGCCACTGACGTCAGCTCAACAGTTCTCCCTGACTATTTGTTCATGAAATGCGATGTCTATGCCCAAATAATAACCCAGTTTAAAATTACGGTCGTATTATGGGTGGCCGAAGGTTGGGCGGTACTGAAACAACTCATAAAAATAACTGGGTCTTGAAACAGACTGTGTTGACGTCGTTTGGCTTATAGTAATGCAAAATTGACAAACTAATATAAATATAATTACAACTGATGTTTGAATTTAACGAACATAATTTTTCCCCAGCAATCCCCAGCAACATCCCCCCCCTGATCACCAACACAGAAATGTTTAAGTTAATTTAGTTAAAAAAATAAATTGAGTTGAAATATGCAGCCCGGCAGCCAAGTTATGCAATCCCATGCATTCGTTCGCAAATTATTGAGCGGCTGAAGCTCTGTTCAGGACCTGTAAGTAGTTTACAAATCAACGTACTATTATTATTATTATTGAGTATTTAATTTACGATTTGATAGCAAAGTATCGTGTAGTTTATCATAGTATATTTCATGAGTTAACAAACTAAGGCATAATTAATCATTGTGACTAGCATGATTTAACAAACAAGCAAAATTAGTCACTGAATGTAGCATGAGCATGAGGCACTCTTTATATTAAAGCATTATTAATAAATCATCTTCACATCTCTGAAAAATCTTGTAATTATAGTGCAAGCTAAATCTTACTGCCTGAAAAATACATCATGGTGTTTATCACTCGAAAAAAAATTTACAGTGTGTTAGTGATGTCTGAACGATTTATAATTTGTGAATTTTACCAGTTCTCCCCTCTTCCGTGTTCGATTTTTGCATCCTTGAACTAAACGCGTTTCCAAATGATTAGCTGCACTACACACTTTAACGTATAGCAGGAAACGAGATTCATTTGAACTTAAATAAAGAAAGTAGATATTTAATGGCCATGCAGCCCAAGTCAAGAATGAATGTAGATTTTTTTTAAGAAACAGTGAAGTGTCACAATTGAAGAGAACGGTGGCTTGCTTTCAATATGACCAAGCACTAGAACAGTTTCTATTCATGAAGGGATTGTAATGAAATCAATAGGTCTTGGTAAAATAAGTTCGGTTAACAATGTTTTCCTGCTTCAACATTATATGTAGGAATTAGTTTAAATTTAATGATGTTTCTGAACTGATATACTTGCCACCTCGAATCACGAATGCGTGGGTCAAGCTACAGATTCTTTGGGCTCCGTATGATGACAAATTTAATATTTCAACACAACAGGCTTATTTCCTAATTGATCTACAACCCCGCATGAATAACAAATCGCAATTTTTTTCATTAACAGATGGCAACAGTAACTCACTCAAGCGATGATCCGTATGTAGAATTCCGTGAGTTCAGTGCAGGTCAATGCTCGGTGTGGAAACAGTCCCAAAACGAGTTTCTCTTCGTTTTCTGTTTCCAGTTGACATCGGGGCTCTGATTAGAAACTTGTCTTATCAGTTCAGGCACTTCCCGCACTCTAGAGAAGCGGAAACATGAGGAAAACTGTCGACTTGCCAACAGAATTCGCGAACTAGGGCAACGAACGACGAAGATGTCTCAGGTATGCGCTGCACAGTTTCAACACTACACCCTCACTCGGCGCGGTCTACCCGCACTCTGAGTTGCAGGGGCCAGGGAGTAGAGACTGAGCTAAGTCGGCGTCAGCGACGTCGGCAGCAGGCAACCCTTCGGCCGCTCAACAGGAAACTGGCTTGTGGGTCACCAGTTCTAGATCACGCACCTAAGCTGAGCTTCCCCATCTGCTGCTGCTAAACGTGAGCAAGTAGGACGAATCGGTGGAGGCAAAATGGACATATATCTAAAATTGTTCGGATGAGCTCCCAGTTCAACTTGTATTGTATTAGCATAACAACATCGGCTTACGTTATTAGATACCATTTGCTGTTTTGCATCGCGATTTAGACAATCTCAGCAATATAGAAGTTGTATGGAAATTAACAGCCAGAAACGTAATTCAGACCAACCTACGCCATGAAAGGTTCGGTTGGCTTCTTCGGTCAAGATTTTATTTCTCTCAGGCCATAACTTGATCTGTTCACTGCCTTACCAGTCCAAGTGGAAGCTTTCGTAAATAAAGACGCATTAGTGACGAGCTTTTGCATCAAGCACTTCATTACGTGTTCAAATATTCATGTTGAGAATAAATTCAAATCGTGCAAACTAAATTATCTCACTGCAGTCTAAACAATTGCCTCTAAGGACTAATTTTCAGACACACGAGTACTTATCAACTCATTCGAAAAGTTTGAAGTGGGTCATGAAACTAGGCTAAGTAGGCTTCGAACCACATTAATGATTCATCAGTCATTCGGTAAATGAATGTAAAGTTCCCCACAGTCGATTGAGAGTCCCATGGTAGTTCACGGTAGATGATGAAATCTGAAAAAGTGTAAGGAATAATGACCGTTGCGTCAACCGCAACACTACGGTTATAAACATTAAAAAACACATGTTAAAAACATAGCTAGCCTCTAGATTAAAGTAAAAACTTTTCATGTTATTAGCAGTTCGCTCTGTCAGATTTTTCTAACTGCTAAAGCCAATCGTAAGACTATCCGTTTCATGAATCTGCAACAAATTTTGTGACAAGCAAATACCAAGTCTGCTTCTCGGTTAACACAACTGAATCGACACTTCAACGGGAACAAAAAGCTTCAGTGATTAATATCTGATTGATATCATATTGTTTTTTATTATTATTGTTTTTTATTATTATATTGTTTATTGTGTAGGCCACCATCAGAGGCGTTAAGGTCGGAGCCCTGATCATTGACATGAAACCATTCCTTGTTTTTAATTAATAAAATTAATTCCCTTTATGTTGGAATGGTGAGTGTGGGTGGCCTTTAAAAAAATTATTCCACTTGCATAGATTGATTGATTTGAGCAAACATAGATTAATTGATATGATCAAACAAAGATTAATTAATATGATCAACATAGATTAATTGATTTGATCACACACTGTTTATTTTTTTGTATATACAAGATCGAATTAATGTACTTAACCTATTAATGTAAATTATAAACTTGCCTAAGCCTCTCACTTGCAACCAATTAAATTTCTTTTGCTGCATATTATGCGAAATATATGGAGGTATAGTCGTTCAAATATGAATTTTGCTTCGTAAAGAGAGTAATAAACAAGTTAAATAATACTTAATACATCTAAAAATGGAAGAAGCCAACCGAAAGCACTCCTTGGATAAATTTTATGGGAACGTAGGATAATAGCAAAAACGATGAGGGGTTTCGCCGAGACGTACCTTGAGCTCTCTAAAGTACACCAAGTTTGTTTGAAATAAATAAATAAAATTCAAATCAATGCAACTGTAAGGTAAGGAATGCTGAAAATATAAAATTCTCCAATAATTTAGAATACATTTGAAAATCTCTGCCTTAAACGTATAAATCGATGCTATCATCTAACTCTCGAAAAGTATTGGAACTCGTGATCCGGGACTTCGTTGATCTGATGGTGTTCATGGTGGCATGTGCCGACTTAGACACGTATTACGTAAAATTGAAATGATCTTTTAAATAGATGGCTTCAGTAATGTTTCGGCTCAGCTTTTGAGGCCAATTCGTGCGTTATTATTCATTTGATAAGATGCAGGATGTAGCAAAAGTAAGCGTGTCTGACAGCGAAAAGGAGACACAATCCAGTCTTAATTCAGACTGCAACTCAATAGTGGCATCCGACACAAGCAGTCGAAATACGAATAAACACCCAACATTTGCCCAACTAGATGATAAATGCTCATCATCAGCCGAGTCAGAAAGTGAAGACGAAGACATTTCAGAGGTAAAATGTCGTATTGTTGGTGTAATATATTGCCGATTTCTCTTGTCGCCATTGCGTGTGCCACATGTTGCTGGATCCCCACCCTCTTATTCGACCAACTTCCGTCATTTACGTATTTTAATTATTGCAAGTTGTCTTACTCGTGATGTGTACCCATATATCTAAAGCTCAATTTACGAGCGTATTGTATAATTGTGTCGTAATTTTTTTAACGTATCTTTTCCTCCTAAATATCGATTGTAACGATTTCTGATCTAGCTAGTTTTCCAATACAATTTAGGCCTTAGGTACCTAAATAACCTAATAATACTGTTAGGCTAACCGTTTTTCTTTTCCCCTGTTCTAAATTTTGATACATATATTTTGTGCAAACTTGCTAGGTTTCTCATCAATATTTTAATTTATTTGTGAATTTTATGGTCATTTGTGCCCATTCGATTAGAGTTTTTGTAACATTGGAACTGGGTGATTTGTGATTGTGAAATATTTACTTTTTTTCATTAGATAGCTATCCTTTTATATTATGGCTGATCCTAGCCTTGATTCAAGTATCAAAATCAGCAATAACAATCCAGCTCAGGTGAGGGGTCACTGGCTCTTTTCAACAACTTAGCCAATTTGTTAAGGGAATGTCCAGTTCTAGCCTTTCAGGTTTTTCAATTAAATTTATTATTAATTGTAGATAGTACTAGACAGTAGGTAGATGCATAATTATTTATTACCATACAACAATTCCACACTTTCAATTTGTTATTAATTTTATTTAGCACAAATAGGCTACTGTAATCTACCAAGTGGCAAGTACCAACTTACCAAGTTAGAAAAGTCCTACTTTTTACTGAAATACCACAGCTCTAGTATAAAAAATTTTGGTAAGTATAAAATCTCATGGCTCTAATGTCATGTATTTTTGTTTGATTGAAAAAATTGCAGCTTACACTTTGCAACATAGTGGCAAAGCAGAAAGTTTTTTAGACTCTCTTTCAAGTTCATTTTTGAGTTCTATATGTAGACCAGTAAAGTATCCTCGATACCTGCATTATCATACATAAGAAATTGGTATAAATCTTGAGTTATTGAGGAAATTAAAAATGAACCAATTCCAAAAAAGCTCTGGTTTGCCACTATGCTTTGCAAACAGGTCGTTTTATAAAATTTTCAACTTCCACAATCTGTAGTATTTGAACGCTTCTACCAAAATATCATGTAGAATGTAATGATACCAAGTTAATTAAAAACGTTTTGTTGAAGATTGCATAGTTGTGGTCATGTCAGACTAGCAGAGTGTTCAGACTGCATTATAATGTGTTCAGTTGCCATTAAAGCAAAGACAAATGTTATGGTGGCTGTTTGACTATTTTTAGGGTAAAATTAGAGATTTGGGGTAACATGTGGGCAAGATCTTGTAGAAAAGTTTGCAGCTTGTAAATGGCTCTTCATGGCCAAGATAGAAAATTCACGGCTCAAAGAAATGGAATCATGACTGGCAAATCCATAAAACCATGGCTCAAAAAATCCAGTTGCAACTCTGCAGGCATGAGTCGTGACTCCAGTCGTAACTCATGCCTGTAATCTACTATCTAAAATACATTGTATTCAAAGTGATTTTCAATTTTGATTGTCAATTTATCAGATCTACTTCATGTAGGTACTACAAGCCAATAATAAATGTTCTAGTGTTGTTTTATGATCCATCAAAATTGATTAGTTTTATATTTTTCAACTGGATATACATTGTGGACTGCATATACATTTTTGACTGGATATACATTGTTGTAGTAAATCCTTGTTGCTTCTTATATGGTGGAGATCTAATCTTGCTTTAGGTGTGACATATATCTACTCTCCAAGCTGCAATCAGAGCATCCATGGCTTTCTTTTAGCTGTGAAATTTAAACCAGGAGAATTATCTCCTATCTTCTTGTCAAACAAAAGTGTATATATAATCTAGCTGAAATATTCAAAAGTTATGAAATACATATCACTTGGAGGTTGAGAATTTAGTCAGTAAAAAGCAAGAATTTTCATACTTTATTTTCTGTCATGGTATGTGGAATTATCATCTGAAGAATCAAACACAAGCTCCCAATGATTGAGTCAGAACTTTTTGTGACTTTGGACAGTTTCATTCCAGCCCATGGCCAAGATGAGAAAAATGAAATTTTTACTGACATTTATTTCTTGTCAGTTTTCACATGTATATGTTGATTTTTAAATCTCTTGGCATAATTATTATTTATATAACAGTTTCATACAAGATGAATATAATGTGCCTGCCCAAACCTTAGCTCCACAAATTTTAGAAAATTAACAGTTGTTGCTGAAAAAATTTTTATTTCCCAGTAAGTGGGTCTCTTTCCCATGGCCCTTGCCTTGTTTGTTAGATAAAAATTGAGAAGCTAGCAGATGCAATTCTTGTAAACTTGCCATAAAACAACAATAACGACCAATTTCATGGAAAATCCTGGAAAGCTTTTACCTTAATATAGTATGTTATGCCATAAAATATAAACATCTCTTATTTCAACATGGCATCTCAACATGAATTCAGCTTTTATGTGTAATTGCTGTATTATTTATGGGTCAAAATCAATCATAGTTGATGAGTTCCATATTTATTTGTAGTAATTATAGAGCATTGTTATCTGTACTGACCATTAGCCATTTTAATCATAAATTGGAGAAGAGTAATTAGCACGGCCTCTGTCTGTTTTATATGTGTATTTACATATATAATATTAGTCTATTTATAAATGATGTTTTTATTAAATAAATTTTACTATCTGTTTTATGCTAAGTTAAGATTGATGCAAATATGGCCAATCTTATGTTTATAAATGATGAGGGTAATGAAATCTGAGACAAATATAGGAATCTGTTGATTTACAAATGAACTGTCCATAAAATTAGCTATAATATCATTATATATGTTTGCACAAATTGTTCTCAGTAAAAGTACCATCAAATTTGGTGTTGCGTTCTGTTTGTCTAAAATTTGTACTCAATGAATTTTTTGGATTTTTTATTCATGCTATTTGTCTTCAGTCAAAACATCCCTAATGAGGGTCTATTTAAGGCTGCAAGGAAGAGTGAAATCAAGAATGATGGTGAAATGAAAAAAAAACTCACAAACAAAGGTAAAATAAAAAAAAAATGTAGAAGCTAAAAAATCACCATTTGGTAGTTAGGAATGTATATTCAAAATTTCGTTCAAATCTGTTCAGTAGTTTGGAAGAAATTTTTTGTTCACTGCGAATTTTGGCCTGTTTTGCAAATTTTGGCCTGTAACTCACAAGTGAAGGCAAAATTAAAAAAAATTACAAGCTAAACATCACCGTATGTTCTGTTGAAGACATGTACTAAGTTTCATTGAGTTGCGTTCATTAGTTTGGGAGATATTACTTGATAATTGAATTTGGAGATTGGTTGTGAGACCGGCCACGAGTTTGGCTGTAAATTCGCCCGAGACATCCTAGGTTTCTTGTGCTGAAACAGTTAAAACATCTGAAAAACATATTGGGTCACTAAATGGGGTTCTATTGGTGAAATACACATTTGTGTTTAAACTTTATCTTATAAAATTGCAGCATACTAAATTTCAAGAAAGAGGCATATGTCTGTGGGGGGCGCTAAAAATTCAGTAGGGAGCCAAAGGGGGCGCTAGCCTGAAAAAGTTTGGGAACCACTGATTAAGGCATATGATTGCTGGATATCAAAGTCATTCTGGTAGCTAAAGTTATCTTCCACTAGCCATAGTCTTCCAGTTTAGAGTGATGAATTTCATTTGTAATTTAATACTGCATTTGCTTAATGAGAAACGTGTTTTTGGCAAGTTTATTCCTAATGATTTAAAGCTATATCTCTTAGTCAAATGAATCTTTGTGTGCAGGTGGAGTCCTTTGTTCTTGGAGACGCTGAAGAAGAAGTTGTTGTGGCCAGTCTAGACAATCAATTTCTACGAACTGCTGCTGCCGCCGCTGCTGCTGCTGGAGGTTCCTCTGCTGCAAGAGAACTTGTTGTGGGACTTGAGGCTGCTGTGGCTGCTGCTGGTGTGGGTGACGCTGCTCCTCAGGGCTCGCACTTTGACCCCGAAACCCAGGCTCGACTAGTAGCTCTGCTAGAAGCAGCTGGTAATTCACGTCTCTTAGTTATATTAAATTTGGAATCTCTCCTTTTGTCATATGTAATTGTTATGATTTAGATGCTTATGTTTTTTCTACAACATATTCATTGAAGAAAATTTCTGGTTATTGTTCTATGTAAAAGTTAAGAAATGATAAAATTTGGTATTATTGTCCACGTTCTTGATGGTAGATGATACTTATTCCTTTTAATATTTTGCACCATTTTTCTGCTAAAAGTATTTCAATATTAAGAAGTGGCTAGATGGTGGTGTTGGAAGATGCCTGAGATGAATTGTTTGGAATGCCTGTTATTAAGTAAGCTGCTTGAACTGGAATGAATGTTGCTATTTTGGAAGCAGGTGGTTGTGCAGGACGCAGCTTAGTGGAAGCTTGCAGTGACGGTGACGTTTTGGCAGTGCGGCGTTTGCTGGATGAGGGTCGGTCTGTGCACGAAACCACAGAAGAGGGAGAGTCTCTTCTGTCGCTCGCTTGCAGTGCTGGCTACTACGATCTGGCTCAGGTCCTTGCTCGACTTAATGACTAAGTATTACTATCTAATTTTCATAATTCTGACAATCTTGTTCAATTCTGACAATTATTTGTTTGCATATTCCAACTGGGGATAGCAGTAGGATCTAGGAAACAGTTGAATTTAGCCTCTTGGCTATCAGAATTGAAACGGTGATCAAACTTCTGTTGATGTTAAGAGAGTAAAGAAGTTTAATTTTTCCATCGATTGATGAGATGCAGGACCCAGGCTAAGCAGTTGTGCTAACAGGAAAAAAGGAACGTGTATATATAATTGATGAAATATCTTTCATAAATTCATTCTCTTTAATGTTTCAAATTTCTGATGGCTTGGTTCACCTACCATTGGTATGATGCAATGGTAGCTGAAAAATTCTAACTTAGTTTCAAGTTCAGAATTTTTTGAAGCCTTGTTGAATTTCAGGACGAGCCCTGTGTTTTGTTTACGTATTTTACCATTGGATCTGTGTGCAGGTCTTGCTGGCAATGCGAGCCAATGTCGAGGACCGTGGCTTTAAGGGGGACTGCACTCCTCTGATGGAGGCAGCATCTGCCGGCCATGCTGATATTGTGCGACTACTCCTCAGCCATAATGCTGAGGTCTGTTTTTTTTTTTTTACACATCTCACCCCCCTTCTGTCATATTGGTATCATTTACCTGCAGAATTTTGTCAATGAGAGCCAAGTTTAAATTTCATTAGGGATTGCAACCAAATCACCAATTGCTTAAATTATGTTAGTCTGGGTTATCTACTTCTCTGATGGCACTGTGCCATCTCAACATGAAACAATTTGGAAGGTTTTAATTTCAACATTCTACTAATTCTCTGCAGGTGAACGCACAATCATCCTCGGGAAACACACCGCTGATGTATGCATGTGCTGCTGGCCACACAGAGGTCGTGAAGCTCCTTCTTGAACACAACGCTAATGTCGAGGACCACAATGAGAACGGCCACACACCACTCATGGAGGCCGCCTCTGCTGGACATGTAGAAGTGGCGCAGGTGCGACTTACATTAATTATGAGGATATCTACCTTCAATACCACATAGTCTGACCTCAGCAAATATTGTGCTCAATTTTCCTTTGCAAATAAAAAAACATAAAATACTAGTCAGGTAAATGATTGATTGGGTTTGATTTCCACACACTAACCACAATCCTATTTAGATCTTGTTCTAATCTTGTAGTTTCGTAAAATAAAATGAATTGTATCTAATTAAGGCCTGCGTGATGAGCTCTGTGTCGACTGGAGTGGCAAGGACGTTAGGGTGGTTGTAGCCAAGCGTCTTGTGAATAGTAAGATTTAGCTTGGTGTTTAGGGAGGAAGATATGGTCATAGATTTTATATTTTGTGGTGGCTTATTGCTGTTCAGGTTTTGCTCATGTGTGCTAAAGAAGTAAAAATATTACATTGTGTGCGTTGCTTGCCAATTTCATCATAACTAAGAATATTATTAATAAAAAGAGGTATTTTGTAATTAATCTCTGAATGGTTGTTCACTTAGCTGCTGCTGGAAGAAGGCGCTGGCATCAACACTTCAAGTGACGAGTTCAAGGAATCAGCCCTGACGCTCGCCTGCTACAAGGGCCACATGCAGATGGTAGAGTTCCTGCTAGATGCTGGTGCTGACCAGGAGCACAAGACTGATGAGATGCACACGGCTCTCATGGAGGCCTGCATGGACGGCCACGTCGAGGTCGCAAAACTGCTTCTAGACCACGGCGCGCAGGTGAATAATAAAATACCTTATCATAATTCATACCTTCATCAGTTTTGGGGCATGCAAGCTCTATTTATATTGAGTTCTCGACTTCAAACTCCAGAAATTGGTATTTAAAACCAGCTTTTATTGACGAATCTTCTCCCAATTTTCTATCTATCGGTATTGATGATGAACTAGAATTCTTGCCAGATCTTCCACTATCATGACTATTATATACGGATGTAAAATTTCCTCATTTCCTAAATTACTCGTTCTATTAATATTTAAGTGAACATGCTGACCAAAAATGTAATGTGTACTCATTGTTTTATCTCTTTTCTTTACTAACAGTGTTTTATTTTAAGGTTAACATGCCGGCTGACAGTTTTGAAAGCCCCCTGACCCTCGCCGCGTGCGGTGGCCACACCGTGCTCGCTCACCTGCTCTTGGAGCGTGGCGCTAACATAGAGGAAGTCAATGACGAAGGCTATACTCCACTCATGGAGGCGGCTAGGGAGGGGCATGAAGATATGGTCAGACTCCTCCTTAAATTGAAGATCAGGGATAAGGGCAATAAAAAATCACCAGGTTGGTTGAATGGTTCATGTGTAATCAATTCATTCACTACGCAAGCATATTCTTGTTTGTCACATGTTCATGTTATGCATTATTTGAATCTATATAGTTGACATGATTTTTAGCAGCATAAATTTAATTGCTTATTTTTTACTTGGTCCCCAAGCAGCCGAAAACATCTATGAAAAAGGCAGAATTCATAGCCTTAATCATCAAGACTAGTTGCATGCTGAAGTTTTAGAATGCAAAAATTTTAAATGTGTGGAATTAAGAGTTCTGGAACTTGTTCTACAGAATCTCAGTTACCAAAATTGCGGGCATCAATCCCTGCTGCCAAAGTCAATGTTCAGACGGAAGAAACTCAAGAGACTGCACTCACCTTGGCTTGCTGCGGGGGCTTCAAGGAAGTGGCGCAAATCTTAGTTTCTCAAGGAGCAGATTTGGAATTGGGAGCTTCTACGCCACTCATTGAAGCTGCTCAAGAAGGGCACCGAGATCTGGTCGAATTTTTGCTTAGTAAAAGAGCTAATGTGAATGCACAGACCTCAACGGGTGACACCGCTCTGACGTACGCGTGCGAAAATGGACACACATCCGTGGTCGACGTTCTGCTGCGTGCTGGAGCAGATCTTGAGCACCAAAGTGAGGGAGGACGCACACCTTTAATGAAGGCTTGCCGCGCTGGTCATCTGTGCACAGTTCAGTTCCTATTGCTGAAGGGAGCGCAAGTAAATCGTTCCACCTCCGAGAACGACCACACGCCTCTCAGCCTTGCCTGTGGAGGAGGTCACCTTAAAATTGTTGACCTCTTGTTGACATACGGCGCTGATCCGACTCACGTCTTGAAGGTGAGGTGGAGCGTTTCTAGCTACGTTCGCGCCCAAGCCAAGTTGTACCTCATTTACATCCAAGCCAAGTCAAGACTCATTAGCTGTGTTTACTCACATTCTTCAGTTTTTGCCGCAAAACGCCGTGCAGTTTTCTTTTAATCTGTATCCCTGAATTTTGTTTGATGTACTCTAATAATAAAATCGTAAATATTTGAATTATTTTGCAGTCGATTACTGTTCTTACCGATTGAAACCAAATTTATCTTCATTCATTTATTCATCTTCATCCATTTAATTCTTAACGTCTCCTTAAATATTTGTGCCAAGAAAAGCTAGAAAAATTCCACCATGGTGTCCTTACTTTGTATTTATGACAGGACAACTGCACGATGGTGATGGAGGCTGCAAAGGGTGGCCACACGGCCGTGGTGCGGCTGCTGCTCGAGTATCCGAATAATGTGGGGCACGTCAGTGCACAGGTCGCTCCTGGGGCTGCGCTCACCGGGCTGTCTAGCCTCCCTCCTTCTGATCAGCTGTCTGCTGCTCACGGTGAGCACTGCTTTATGCTCTGATGAGCTGTCTGCTGCTCACGGTGAGAGCTCCTTTATGCTCTGATGAATTGCGAATGTCCTGAAAAAAATTGAATTCTTTGTAATTGAGAAGAAAACTTATGCCAAATATACTGAGGACTGAGGAGTTAGGTGTTCATTTGGCTGATGCATAGTGCGGTCCTCTATAGAAAACCTACTTTGATTTTGGTCTGATAAAGTTACTAATTACATGTTGTTTAAAATAGAGCCTTAACCTGCTCTGTAGTCATTAAAGATATACCGCAACGATGTGACAGAGTACGTAATTCTATCCTCTTTTATGGCTGGTGTGGGAGGGTTCGAATAAAATATATCGCAATTTGCAATACTTTGAGTGGGATTAGATTTTTCCCTTTATTAATTTACCTTACCTGGATGAAATGAATTTTCGGTATTGCGCCCATGCTTGGTGATTTTACTCCACTTTGTACTTGACTTTATTTGCCGGTTATTCATCGTTTCCTCCTCTCCAATTTAGGCAGACAGTGTGAGATGTAAATTCGAATTCGGTATTTTTGAACACACATGTGCTTCCAGCCGCTCTAATATCCCCTTAAGTCTTCCTTGTCCTCCCTTCGCACTAACAGAAATGCTTCTCTACAGAAAATTGTCACTCAAAATTTCTCTAACCTGATCTATTTCAGTATTTAGTAATTATACATTCACGAAACTCGTCTCATTATTACCGAGTTATTGCCATTTATATCTAGGACCAGCTTCATGATTAACTCACAGGTCTACTTAAATTCATCCATTTTGACCTACTCAAAGATCAAATGTGATTATTAATCAATTTCCAAGCCATGAAATATTTTAATGTTTCTTCTGATAGTTGGTTGTGGCGGGGACTCGTGCCTTGCACCAAGCACCACCGCGAGCACCATAAGTCACATGAATTGTAGTGGCAGCACCTGCCGGCTTCCTCCTCCCCTGCCTTCAGTGCCTTCCTCGGCGGAAAGTATGGAGTCCAATTTTAGTGGTACTGCAAGCGGGAACTCCAGCGTGGGCACGCACTGCAGCACATCCAAGTGCTCCGTGAATGATAAAGGAACTAACGCCTCGGTGGCAGAGGCCATGGCAACTGCTTACGCACTCGGTGTTTCCTATGCCATATCTTCAGCCACCAACACCCCTGCGGTATTTTCTACGACGCCCAACACGAACTTTGCATACACACCGGCAGTTGTTGCAGCAGCTAAGCCTGTGGTACGCCCAGCCAACCCTACCAATAAGGCTAAGAAGCAACAAAAAACGCCAAATAATCCCGCCTCATCGGCTGTCTCCGTACAGGTTAGTGTCTTTCATCACTAGAATGAAATCTATTCTCTCATTTGTTCAATATTCAAGTGTAATATTTATAATGCTTGAATTTTATGTTAAATTGAGTAACCATTTAAATTTTCAGCAGCAAACTAAATTAATTGAAGAGCTTCATCGAGTGGAGCAGAGGCTTGAGAAGCATGTCAAGCTACAGCACCAGCCATGTCATGAACATGCAAAGCTGAGGGCTCAACAGCCATGTCATGAACAAGCAAAGCTTGAGGAAAAGTTGGAGACAGTGGAAATGATTCAGCAACGAATTGACGAGAATACGCACGCTCTCTCAAGGGATGTAGATGAGCTAATGCAGGCTATGGACAATATTTCTAGCTCGTGCAGCAACAGCTCCGTGAGTGACTCGACAAGTAGCAGTGACAGTGCCGTCAGTGCTATTGGTGTCGATTGTAACGTTTCAACCTCGATGAGCAGTGCTTTGCAATTCCAGTCATCTCCTTTGCACTCACTAGCCTCCCTTGCCACGCATACTGTTGAGACCCAAACTGGCAGCTTTATTCCCTCTCATAACTGGATGGTTGTGCCTGGTGTGGTGCCGGCCGGTGTCATACCGGGTGTTGTGCCGACACTTGGCATCCATTCCTCTGCAGGAAGTGGCTCCATCACGACTCCTGAGCCCATTTATTCTCCCTCACAATCCGGCTTGACATCTGTTGGTAGCATCACTCCGACCTTACCTCTGAGTCTTGCCGTTGAAGGTTGTTCTATGGGGTTGGCCGCCACTCCAAACGTTTCATTGGCATCACTGGCATCGACTGCCCTGTGTCATCCTGACTCTCAACTAACTCAACCTCCTCCCTGCTTTATGCCGACCTCACCTGCTGCAAACGCCATCCCGCAAACAGTTCCTCCTCCACATTACACCACCACAACTACCGTGCCCGTCTCGGAAAGGAAGATTATGGTTCCATCTTCGAAGAAGAACGACCGTAAGAAACAAATAAAACAACAGCAACTGCTTCAAATGCAAATTCAGCAGCAACAGCAGCAAATGCAACACCAAACGCAAGCTAAGGGCGCATCGCCTGTTATTTCAAATAAAAGTGCAGCTGGCTGCTTTGCTTCCCCTCCTTGCTCCAGCCACGGGAGTGCCTTGTCATCAGTTGTTGGTGGCAACAATATCAACTCCAATAATGTCTCTTCAATTACTGGTAGCGCGAAACCTCGGGGTGATAACAAGCGCAGTGTGCCCATTGACTGTGATTGCGGCATGCCTCATCCCAATAACCCCGTCTCGTCACTGGCAAGCATAATGTCGGATGATTTGCTTCTAACTCACAAGATTCCTGCAGGTCTTTTCCAGCAACAAACCAGCGTTCCAACGTCTGGTGTCTCTAGTGTTTCTTCTATGAAGCCAGAAGTTCGGCAATTTCTCGTGCAACAACAGGATCACATGCAGGGAGCCAGTAATGTTTCTAAGAATGCACCAATGAATGTTCCGTGCAGTCAGTCCTTTCCTTCGGTAATACCTAACAAGAACTCGCAGACTAATCTGTCTCATTCTATTCAGTCATGTGGGTTACAGTCATGCGTTCAGTCTTGCCAAGGTGTTGCAGATCAATCACAAGGCGTTGTGGGCGCTATGCAAGTAGGCGCGCTTCAGTCTGCAGTTCAACCTAATCCTTATTCCCAAGCTGCTCCCCAAGGCAGTAATAAGAAAACCAAGAAACAACCCAGAAATCCTTCTAAGCTTGAACGAGAGACGAGACTACAGCACCAACAGCAACAAGATCAGTTGCAGCACCAACAAATTCATCACCAAATCCTGCAACGCCAGCAGCAACTACAAGCACAACAGCAGCAGCACCTGCATCATCATCACGATCAGGAACAGCTGCAGCAGCTACAGCTGCAACACCAACTAGCTGCTGCTCAGGTTCTTGCAAACAATCAAACTGTAGACAGCAACGGAGGACTCATTTACAACAACTCCTTATCATCAGTGACAGCAATTGGTCATGATGGAGGTGTTGCGTGTGCTAGCGGTACATGTAACCTGGCAGCGAATGTGGGCGCTCTTCACCATGGCCTATCAATGAACGAGGCCGCCTCATTGCTGTTGGATGCCGATCCTGCTACAGCCGCCAAAGTCATAATGGCTCGATGCCCCGAACTCGCATCTCCTCAAGTGAGCCTACCTTTAATATACCTTAAGAAATTTAGATATATTTTTTGCATGAATTTAATTGAACGGTTGTAGAGTGTAAAAAGCAATTACAAATCTCAGGATATTTATTTATAACTAAATGTTTCAATTATTGACGAAATGATGACAATTTGCTGAGTGATTTTTGGCTGATTCCAAGCCACTTTTTCCATCAGATTGCTTATATTGTTCATAATCTACCGAATGGATTTGTTTACTAGTGTTGTCTCCATTTCATTCTTTGATTACCATTGACAACGCAGGTGTCACTGGACAACACCCTAGGGGAGCCTCATCTTACGACCGAAGAGTTCCACCAGATGCAGCAGCGTGTAGCCACTCTAGCTGTTGGGTCCACGGGCTCGACTGCAGAGTACTTACCTGCTGACGGTGTTTGCACCCCAGAGTACGCCTTAACGGGCGCTGATGTGCATCCCGTCGTGGGATGCAGAACTCCCGAATTGTGCCCGGCTCAATACAACGCTGCTACCGCGGGTATACCTCCTCAGGCGCTCAGCAATGTGGTGGAGGTCGATGCCGCGACTGACAGCAACCGTGACACGGCTCTCACCCTTGCCTGTGCTGGCGGATATGACGAGCTAGTCCGGCTTCTACTCAGCCGAGGCGCAAATATTGGTCAGTTCAATTTTGGGTATTGTATTAATATTTGGTGAAAAATTTTGCTATTTGTTAGCCCAATAAAAATTGACTGTTACTCAAGTTACCAGGGCTTGAGTGTTACTAATAGCACTGATGATTAATGTTGACGAAGGTTTAATATCAGTTAGCTACCTTGGTAAGGTATTGTTGCCACAAGTTTAATCGGAAAAATTCTTATGGGTCACTCAAACATTTACGTATCGCTGTAAAATCGTCGTGAATATTTTCATATTAAAGATTATCTGCCATACTATTATTTGATATGACACTCGAGTACCGTATCGTAATTGTTACCTATTGTGTAGGGAATTCTTTGCATTTTTTGCTCTAAGTCTACAATCCATCTCGCAAATTTTATCGACCAGGACTTAAACTATTTGCCACGATCATTCTTCACAGAGCACCGTGACAAGAAGGGCTTCACGCCCCTGATATTGGCGGCGACAGCAGGTAATGTCAAGGTAGTCGAGACGTTGCTTGTTCACGGCGCCAACATCGAGGCTCAGTCGGAGCGCACCAAAGACACGCCGCTCTCGCTTGCTTGCTCCGGAGGAAGGTTTGAGGTTAGCTTTGATTTATCCGAAATAACTTTTCATGTGTACTAATAAACTGGGGAATTGTCCAACTTGCGAATTAATTTAATTAAGCATAAGTATTTTACATACGCACAGGTACATGATCATTCAACTTGGGAAGTAACCGAGCGAGTTGGAAGTTCATGGTCATATGAGAAGCAATGAGTCACTTGACGACGTAGAAATATCACTGGTTGTCTGTCTGAAGAAGAGGAATCAATATTACTCCTCTAAGATAACTACTCATTATAAAGTTTATATTATTTGACGAGTACTACATAGGATTTTTTGTACTGGTCAAATTTGAATGGTTCGATTATAAACTTTTCTACAAATAATTTGCAATGAAGTCAAATTCACACTAATGCATGGATTCAGATGTGACATTTGATTCGTCGACGTAAGTAAAATATTTTTACAAAAGTATAATTTTGTTGAGGCTTTAGAAATACTCATTAATTTTTGACCTGTTCGATCTGATTTCGTTACATCAATCGTATCGAGAGGAGCTCGAATTCCTTTTGCTTACTGGTGTAAGGAAACTAAATTCATGAGGGAACTAAATTCATGAGTTCACTCCAATATTAAACTATTATTGATTTTATACACGTATGACGGACATTATTTTTCTTATGGTATTTTGATCTTTTTGAGTGGGTGATAAAAATGTTAATAGTTAGAATCATAAGTTATTAACCGTTAAACATCCTGACAGTGTGTTATATGTGACAATGTGACTGTGTATTATCGAGAGGTAGTCAGTCAGCTATTTGATCTACTCTTGAGGTTCTGCATAAGTGCAAATGGGATCGTTTGAACATCCGGACTTAATTTCTATTTAATTTCAGGTTGTGGAGCTGTTGCTCAACCGTAGCAGCAACAAGGAACACCGCAACGTCTCTGACTACACTCCCTTGTCTCTGGCTGCATCTGGCGGCTATGTGAACATCATCAAATTACTCCTTGATCACAATGCCGAGATTAACTCCCGCACTGGCAGCAAGTTAGGAATCTCTCCGCTCATGCTCGCTGCCATGAACGGTCATGCAGAAGCCGTTAAGACGCTGCTCAACTCGGGCTCTGATATTAATGCCCAAATTGAAACCAACAGAAATACCGCGCTCACTCTAGCGTGCTTCCAGGGCCGTCACGAGGTCGTATCTCTCCTGCTCGATAGAAAAGCTAATGTCGAGCATCGAGCTAAGGTGAGTGGTACCTGCCAAAGCCACTCGGTAACTTAGATGTCTTATGCTCTATGTTATGTTGCCTGCATCAAGCTAGGGTTGACGGAGTTTTTTTAGACGAGCATGTGATTGTAATGACGTTCAAATCGTTTGTTTGGACTTCAATATTCACGCGACTAGTTATACTGAAGGCGGGTGTCCTCACACGTGTTCTTGTCTTCGGCAGACTGGTTTGACTCCCCTGATGGAGGCAGCGAGCGGCGGCTATGTTGAGGTTGGAGAAGTGCTCATAGCCAAAGGAGCTGACGTCAACGCCCCTCCTGTGCCTTCTTCTCGAGACACGGCGCTCACAATCGCCGCTGACAAGGGTCACGTCAAATTCGTGAAGCTCCTCATTGAGAAGTGAGTTTTTTATAGCCAAGAAATGATTATAAAAACTAGTTATCTCACTCATAGGAAAATGGAAAAGCCATCAGTTTTGAAGTGTAAACATTTCAAAACTGTTAGTCGTCAATTACTTGATGCTGCTTGCTTGTTAATTGAATTTTCTGTTGGATATAATTATGTGATTATTTCATTTTATACTTGAACTTGTCTTTCCAGAGGAGCGCATGTAGAGGTAAAGAACAAGAAGGGGAATTCAGCGATGTGGCTTGCTGCAAACGGAGGCCACTACGAGGTTGTAGAAATGTTATATTCCTCCGGCGCCGACATCGACAGTCAAGACAACCGAAATGTGTCGTGTCTCATGGCGGCATTCAAACGGGCTCATCTGAAAGTCGTCAAGTTTATGGTACGCCACGTGACGCAGTTTCCTTCAGACCAGGAGCTGCAGAGGTACATAGCTACTCTTACCGATGCTGATATGATCAAGAAGTGCCAGGCGTGTCTTGAGCACATCCGAGCCGCCAAGGACAAGCAGGCATTGGAAGCTAACAAGAATGCTTCTAATTTGCTAAAAGAGCTCGAGATTGAGTTGTCTCGAGAAAAATCCAAGAAAGAAGCCGCCAACAGACGCAGACAGAAGAAAAAAGCAAAGAAAAAAGCAACAGAAGAAAAGAAGGAAGAGCAGAAAAAAGTTGTTGATGAAGATGATGAAGACGACGATGAAAAATACGAAGAAGAGGAGGAAGATGACGAAGAAGAGGAAGAAGAAGAAATTGAACCTCCTCCACCGCCTCCAACTTCTCGACAGAAGAAAAACAAGAATAACAACAAAGATGCTCGGCGAATTGATAAAAAGCCTCCTCCAAACAATCCAACAAAAAATGAAAATAAGGATAAGCCGTTGCGTGGCAATAAGAACTCCGAAGAGCGCCTCCTTCCTGACGCTGCTGGGGCCGAGGCCCGCGTTCCACGCGACGAGTGCTGCGGTGCTCCCGAAGAACGAGACAGCGGCATCGACTCCAACAGCCAAACAAGTGCCACCTCTGATACCAAAGTTCAGCAAGACAAAGACACTAAGAATAAGAAGAAGAAAAAGAAGAAAGAGGCCGTTACTTGCACTGTTAGTAACAAAGAGAACTCTTCGAATGCGTCTTCTGCAAAGCAACCATCGAATAATTCTACTGCTGTGGAAAATATTTCTAAGAATTTGAAAAATATTAAACTCAATGAAGTGAATGAAAAAAGCAAGTTATTGACATCACAGAGTAATGGCAAGGAGAATAAAGTTTTGTCTTCGAGCACGAATCATTCTATCCCCTCCCTGTCGTCAAGCAATTTATTTTCTCTTAACAACACATCAGCTAAATCAGGTAGTGGCATTTCAGAATTGGATACTTTCCATGATACTGTGTCAAGTGGCAATGCTGGCGCCGTATCCAGTCGTCTGTCCGAGCTGAACATTTGTGGCAACCACAATCGTAATAATGAGTTCCACGACAGCGTGGCTTCACTAGACACTTTTGGTGAGGCTATGCCACCCATCATCCCTGGTCTCATGTCAACACCTTCAAATGTGCTTGGTGTTTCAGCTCTCAGCCCTAAGAAACTAACCTCAAGAGGACAGGATGGTTGGAAAGAAGTCAATCGGAAAAGCAAGAAAGTAAGCGTAGACAATGCGGCCATAAGTCGCATTATTGGTAGGGGAGGATGCAACATTAATGCTATCCGAGAATATTCAGGTGCTCACATCGAAGTGGAGAAACAAGGTAAAAGCCAAGGGGACAGAATGGTCATCATCCGAGGTTCCACAGAGGCTACCCGCAGAGCTCAGAATTTGATCACGGCTCTAGTCAAAGAACCTGAAAAAGATATATCTGAACTTATCCCTAAAAGCGCGCCTAAACCTTCATCAAAGAATGCCTCTAATGCAACAGCTTCCACCTCCAAGTCGCTTCACGTTCTTCCGCTCTCTGATCTGATCCAAAAGAAACCCATCCCAAATCAAGTTTTAAATGGTAATGGCGCCGCACCAAAATCTCTCTTAAAATCTGCACCTGCTGCACCACCAATTATCAACAGTTGGGCTACGCCTGCCAGTGTTCCATGCACCACAGCTTCGGTGTCTCCCAAGAAAGATTTGATTTCTAAGCAAATACCATCGCTTGTGAGCTCAACAACCAATGGCTTAGCGAATTCAAGTCTAGCTTTTATGGAGTCTGATCGTGCGCTGGTTAGCTGCCCTTCATCCATAAGTTCTGTCAACATTTCAGGAACTCCATTGATGAGCGCTCCTACAATGGCCGCGCGCATCGCTGCGCAGTCTAAATCGCCTGCTGCTCGTCAGCTATTTGGCGGTGATGCTGGTACTGCAGTCTCTTCAGTTCCCACGGTTGCTAAATTGAACACATCTCAGCAACAATTAGGATCAATGGTTGCTCAGTCTCTAGCAAATGATACAGCGTGTAGCAAGTCTTTTACGTTGCCTGCGGGTTCTGGAAAACTGCAGCAACAGAGGAAAAATTCACTTCAATCCAATTCGTCTACTACTGGACCGAGTAAAATAGATGCTCCCCAAGACCATCTTATTCAGCAACCCATGCCCATGAAGCCTCCTCAATTCCTCGGCCAGCAAGCTTTGGATCGGGGTTCTCCTGTACCGTCACTGGGCCCGTTATTGACTGAACCTCATATTAATCTTAATATTTTAGACAATGATGTGTCTCAGAACATAAATGGTCCCATCTCGGCTACAAAAGCTCCATCATTCTGCCTGTTTGACACTATGAGCCAAGTTTCTAACAACGTTGTATGGGGTAGCAAAGAGCGCCCGCCGGTGATGTACGAGCCGCTACCGTCAACGCCGGTGGATGCTAGTCGGGCGCCGGGCTATCGAGCTCCTGGTGCTCAGTCGATTTGCAGCAGTAGCAGCATCAGCACTACGATCGCCGTAACAACTTCAAGCGGAAGCGTTGCGCGTAGTGCTCCTGGAACACCAGTGGCTTCGCAAAACGTTCGTGCTGTAACATTGAACTGCAACAGGCAATCTGCAGGTACTCCACCCCCGATGCCAGCTCGGCCTGAGATGTCTCAAGGCTTGCCGTACCCCATCCATACATCCCGCACACCACCACCATCAATGTCATCTCAAATTCGTATGCCAACTGCTTCCATGGCAATGCCTCTAATTCAGCGTTCGTTTACACCACCTGCTTCTATGCCAACTGCTGTGTCTTTGCCTCGCATGCAGAGTGCGCCAGCTAGCACCTTGGCCCCAGGAGGCCCCAGTTCTGTTCGTCCAGATATCAGGCCCATTCGAGCGCCCATGCATCAACCAGGAAACAACCTTGATATTAACTTCATTTATGAGCAGCAGCAACAGTTCCAACAACAACAGTACCATAACATGCAACAGCCACAGCTGCACGCATATTCCTCTTACTCTCAATTGAGTTTGATAAATACTCCTCAGTTCACTACGCCTCAAACAAATACGCAGCATGTTTTCACTTCAAATTTGCCACTTTCAGCAGCTCCTCAAATTCAGAGTAACTTGAATCCCAATGCACCAGATTTCGCCAGTCGCAACAGCAACTTTGTGTCTACATCGTTCTCTCCTCGACCGCAGATGCAGTCACGTCACTTTCAGAACAACACCAGCGTTGGCCCTGTGTGTCCGCCGTTTGTTGGCCTTAATCTCAACTCCATGGATGCGTCAAATCTTTCTGGAGTACCTTATAGTCCATGCGATGTTGCAAGTTTGCTGAAGTCGTGCAATCAAGGAGCTGCCAATTCTGTGAACATATCGCCGCTTCAGCAATCTCCTCACACCTCCACGCCCGGCTCTCCTACGGCAGGAAGCAGCCTCCAGGTGCAGCAGGACGATAGGTTATCAAAATTACGGCCTATTGGCACAGAGCGCGCGCAGAAGCGTTCAGAACGAACAGGTGTTATGGTTCCTCCACCACCTCCTCCACTCAATCCTAACGTTCAAGCTTCGCTTCTACAACACCCTGCGCCTTCTCCACTGTCAATAGCAGCTTCCGCATCATCAGTTGTCGGTGTTGCTAATGCCAATGGATCTGCCGTTCCTGGAGTACCAATGGTTCCCAACTGCGCTGGTCCAGACATGTGGACTTCTTCAACAATGCTCTTGGCTGATGAATCGCCCAATGCTCTATTCATGAGCTCGGCTGACATGGATTTGCAGCAAAATTACTCGAACATGCCAGTGAGTTAAATTAGTAAGAAGTTTTCTTGTGTTGTGCACAAGAGAACGTCTTGACTTAATTCAATTTTATTATGAGGGTTACATCGTTCAGTAATATTATTGCATTATTTTGAAATACGTTGCATTATTCGAATTATTTTTCATCATCCTCGCCTGTACCCTGGACATTCTTTTCTCATGATATTTTCATTGCTTGCAGGTGTGGGCCCACTGGAATGCCAACCTAAATTAAAACACCTGTTACGCTGGAGCTGTGCAAAATAATTGTCACATATGTGACTTTCAACCGAGTCTGTCATCGCTCTTCACGTTCTCGCTGTTTTCGCTCGGTACGATGTCAATGTGATTTGAATGCCGAAGAACGCGCGTTGTTCGCATTTATTTGCGCCGCGTTTCATTGGCTCCCGACTCTAGATTAGCTCCGATACTAAATTGGTACCTTGAATTGAGCATCTCAATGTGCATTAAACAAAATTTGGCGTTTATGGTGCGCCTATAGTATTTTATCAAACTATTTCGTGGTATGTTGCAGATAGCTTGAAAGAAGTTTATGTGTAACATTGATTTTGAATTTTGTAAACAGCTTTCTATTGTAGTTGATAATAATTTGAAAAGTTGCTGTGTTTTTCACCCTGTTATTTTTCTGGACGAGACCGCGGCCTCTATCGCGAGTAGAGCTTGAATATTTGTTTAGTTCAATAGAAACATTTAAGGTATTCTCTAAGACTGATGAATTAAAGAGTCAATTGGCATCACGCGCGACTAGCAAGAGTCTGTATAATAAATGTTGATGTTTATGAAGATTTAAAGGCCAAGTCGTCATTATGCAATGTTGCGTGCTTGGATCGACGGTTCCTAGTTGCTTGTATACTCAGGAGTGGAGGTCTGCAGGCGCTGCATGTGTAGAGAAGGCCTCCCGAGGCGGATCAGGTGGAACGTGTTTGCTTTGGAAAGATGAAGTCGATGCCCTTCTGTGTTAGCTATTGCAATTACAGATTTCAATTCATTGATACATAGACAGAAATTCTGAAAGGTTATTGCTAATTGATACCTATTATTGCTACTACTTGATAAGGTTTAGCCGTGTTTGTGCTCCTTCAAACGATTGCTACATTATCCCCAGTGATAAGGCGTATGCCGTGATCATGAGAAGTTCGTGGATGTTTCGTTCTTCTCGCTGCCGTTTGGTATTGTCAGTCGCTCGGGCTTCGTAGCTTTACGCTTGTGTTTTGGAAGATCGCGTGTGCAGTGAACTCCGCGTTCACAGTAGAAGCGAACAGTCCTGGAGTTCTGCCTGCACTTCAGGGTTGTTGAATGCACCGCGTGAGAGTTTTGCTTCTACACAAGTTTTGCTTTATTTTTATTTCTCTTCAATATGGCCCCCCAATGTTCCATACGCTACATTGTAAGCCTACTTGCGAGGTTATTCCCATGTCTCGAGTTCTCTGCTCAGAGTACGTCGAAGGCTTGCGATTTGACGTATGGTGTGGATGAACCTTGGTGTAATGCTCTCGCTGCTACGCCCTCGTACTATTATAACACGATAATAAAGATTTATCAAGCTGGGGACATGCGTTTCTTTTTTAAGACCATTTAAATCGTTAAAAACTGGTGTGAAACAATGTTTCGTTCAATAATTTACTCTGACAACCATCACACGTAATTTCAACTCGTTTATTCTATTCTCAACAATATAAATATTTCTATATAAAGCAAATTCTTGAATAAACAAACTAAAATATAAAATAGAGGGCAAATTACAAACCAAGACTCTCATACTCTTAGGAAAGGATTCAATAACTTTTTATGCAGATCCTCGCGGATTAAACCTTGAATGGTATTTAACCCTCTTTCTTTACGGACACCTAGAGTGTCAAGGCTACAGGCCCGTAACTCGAGCGTCCGTAGACAAAGAGTAAATGACAGAAACGCTAAAATTGCAACTTCCCATAATGTTAGAAATGATAATTCTTCGCCTACGCGCGCATAGGATTACGAAGCCAAGATTTTTTTGGACTTAGCCAGGTTTCCATTCCCAATCAGACTAGTTTCCAGCACATGATTAAATTATTTTCTTACAGAACATAATTATACAGTGAAATGATTCCTCAGTAGCTGGAAAGACGGCGTTACCCGTCACTGTTAATTCTAAAGTTTTAAGTGAGAGAATTACAAAGGTAAATCGTAAATTCGCATCGAAAATGTAACGAATTTTGCCTTATATACCTCAGACAGTTTCAAAAAGACGAATAGTAGTAATCATATTTTATACACTCGGAAAAGAAAACTAGCACAATCAGAGAACATACACATTACACAAGCTACTTTAAATGCCCACGTATAAGGAAACATGCACCACAATCATAAAAATGTCCAGTGACATCAGTTGGAATGATAAATTTCCTAAGGATACTTCAAGCAACACACTATCATTACTGCCATCACGAACCTTTTCTCGATGCGTTATCAATAATAGACGTACATACTGGATTAGGCGGAATAATTGACATTGAAAGTCGACAGTTATGCTAAATTGGAGTGTTTAGCACGGTATCTGGTTCTGATAATACTGGATCCAGTCGTAAGCAACAGAGCGGGCACTCTTGCAGGAGTTACGTATGACATTCATCATGTAGATTGCAGCCTCCTTCTCAGTAGATGTTGGGCTGAAACGAGGGCGAAGGAACCTGATGGTGTTGCCACGGAAGCAAGGCAGACCAGTGTCCAGCATTAGGGAGACCAGCGAGACTATGGCTTCCCTGTATGGTCTAACTGCCAGATAGCCTTTAATGCAAAGCTCCACGAACCATCGAAAAGGTGCAGCGTCTTGACGACCACCCATTACCATGAACATCTCCTGAGTGAGCTTTATGTCGGGTTCAAACCCAAGGTTGCCACCAGGCGAGCTCTCGAACATGAACCCAAAATCTATATGGATAATATGCCCTTCTTTGTCGAGCATGATGTTGCCATTGTGCCTGTCTTTGATTTGCAAAAGGAATCCCACCAGGCTGTAGGCAGCCATGCTCTTCACGAAGTTGCTGCGAGCAAGCTGGAACTGAGGATTGTTCTCATCTCCGTAGACGCTCCGGAAATATTCGTACAGCCCAGTGTCCGTCGCACGGCCAAGTTGGTCTCGAGATTTTGCGTCGGGCACACATTCTATAACACCGCAGCCAGGCGATGTGGCCACCACGCGGTACGGGAACAAAAACAGATCAAGGCCCACTGTTTGGAAGATATTTTTGAAGAGGGTAATGACTTGCAAAGCTAGCATGTCCTGTCGCACATCATCGCCCACCTTGAATATAGCAGCCTGCCAAAGCTCAGGCCCGACACCCGTTGGGATGGACTGTCCAGCACTGACTGTCATGCCAAGTTTCTCGAGCTCCGTGATGCCACAGCGACTAACCTGTATATAGACTTCAATTGCACACTTTCAGCATTTATAAATATAAGCAAGATTGATTTTAGGCATGTTTTCATAAACTGTAAAGCCACATTAACTATCTGAGATACTTCTGAACTATTCTCATTTTTGAGGTACAGAGGCATTTCTTGCACAAAGACATCTTAAACCTTCATACTTAAATACAGTACATTTGGCTTTTAGCCGAACTCGTTCCTAAATCCGGTTTGCACCATAGCTTATTTATTGTGACACCTGAACTTAACCCTTCGTTTGCAGATTCATTTAAAATCTCGTCGTAACAATATTGTTTCTAGAGGCCAGGGGCCAAACTTTCAAAACTCGCTAAGTGAACGTAATTACTTACGCTCTATTTTCTTGTATATGATTGGTGAATGCTTGAAAGGCCGTCAATGATTGGCTGGTGAACTTACGATCTCTTAACTTTTTTTAAAGTATTGGCCCAGAAACCGTGCTATCACAACTTGCTTAACACGTTGACTACGATTGCTTCATCTTGTACTATTATTTCATTTCTTGTACTGTTTATAAACAGGGTCGCCAGACGGTCATTTTTTCCGGACAAATTCCGTGATTTAGTTTTTCTCAATTGCGACTCGTTCCTAAATCCGGTTTGCACCATAGCTTATTTATTGTGACACCTGAACTTAACCCTTCGTTTGCAGATTCATTTAAAATCTCGTCGTAACACTATTGTTTCTAGAGGCCAGGGGCCAAACTTCCAAAACTCGCTAAGTGAACGTAATTACTTACGCTCTATTTTCTTGTATATGATTGGTGAATGCTTGAAAGGCCGTCAATGATTGACTGGTGAACTTACGATCTCTTAACTTTTTTGAAAGTATTGGCCCAGAAACCGTGCTATCACAACTTTTTTAACACGTTGACTACGATTGCTTCATCTTGTACTATTATTTCATTTCTTGTACTGTTTTTAAACAGGGTTGCCAGACGGTCATTTTTTCCGGACAAATTCCGTGATTTAGTTTTTCTCAATTGCGTTTTTTTTGCGGCCGGCTAAAATTTATGATAGGGGTACTTCCTAATTAAATTTTAAATACTGCAAAAAGAAAATAAATGGAATTTTTATAGCGCGCGGAACCTAGAAATAAACTAGTATATATTGAGTTATCGGCCTTTTTGGCCTTTTTGTTCTCGGATTTGTCCGAGTTTTGGCAACCCTTAATTATGTACCACAACGTCCTGGAGAAATACATTTCGTGGTACGCATATGTACCACTTTGTAGTCAACGTGTTAAGTACACGTAGCGGCCGATTTCTCGCGTTTGGTGGGTTAAGCATTACAATCCGGCTGAAGGAGTGATGAACTCGTAACTATTTTTGATAGAAATGCCCCTGCTGACGAGAGTTACCGTCAATAGGCAAAGGAAGCTAAGCCACCACGATACCTTGAAGCGCGCAAGGTAGGGCGCCTTGGCCGCGCTCTGCATGGGCGTGCCGCTGTTGCGGTCCACGTCGATCACGACGGACTCGGGGTTGCTGGGGAGGTAACACCCAGGCTGCAGCTCAACTTCGTGCAGTGCAGCAATGCATGCCTTCTTGCGTTCATCACCTGCGAATAATAAACAAATAATTTATCATCTTAGGATCAAATTAGGAAAAATTTATTATACTCACACCTGCGAACAATAAATGCTTGTATTCATCATCTTATGAAAATTTATGAAAATCATCTAAGTTTGAGAACTAGTGATTCATTCAATGAAGATGTGAAAGGCATGAGAGAATAACGAAATCAAACGATCAATAATCAAATTTCTTATTTAATACAGCGCTCCCCAAGCATGGGATAAATTAACATCTAGAGGAATGTAATTGACTTTTCAATGCTAATGTAGCAAAGAGTGTTTTAATATTGCCATGTTTAAAACAAGGAAAAATCATGATTGGCAATAAGCATGAGAGGAACATGTTTATTGTGGCTTTTAGAATAAATAACTAGGTGAAAATTTGGCAACCAGAAATCTAACCGCTATAGAATATACACGTTCAAATATAACGAGATCCGGCGACTATTTTCACTCACGTTGTCGATGACGATCACACCTGAAATCTACCTATTGAGTATTGAAGTAGTTGATCGCGAGAACCTCAAGCTGACTGCTAAGCATCGGCAATAATTTCTATATTCGCGTTAATTAATAACGCGAGTATAGAATGGTTTAAATTTTAAATGGCTCGAGGAAGAAACCATGTAGTGGGCTACCTTTAGGGTATGGTTTGATGATCGCGGATATGTTTGTGATTTTCCCGAAGAAGTCGAACTCGCGTTGATAAAACTGCTTGGCAGGGCCGGACAATGAGGAGATGATGTTGTCTTCCAAGCTCACCAGCAAGTCGTGGAGGTCAGCTGAAATATGATAGTGTCATAGTGACGAAGCTCAAAATTGAATTCCAAAAAAAGCTTTAATAAACACATATAGTTGGTATAATTTGCAGCAAAGCATATCAACTCTTTCGAATGAGCTTTAAGGCGTGTGTATTCACTCAAAAAATCGCAATTTGTATTTAGAACATCGGTAAGTGATTTTTTTTAATGCAAGCGTTAGCAGTAAGTAGCTCTTCCATTTTTGAAAATAGTCGACATCAGATTACTTGATTGAAATAGGGTAATCTGATTATTTGTTATATATTGAAAAACAAGAAATTTGAATCAACATCAGGAGACACTAGGAACCTGATTATTTGTTTGATATTGTCAGGGAATAAACAACAGATTGATCGTCTGATATTGACTATATTGAATTTTAGACATAGATAGCCAGAGTGAGGGCACTGAAGGTACCGTTGGCTTGATGAGCGCGATCTGACCACCTAATATAAACTATATAGAGTTTTAGATGACAATAGCCAGTTTGGGGGAGCTGTAGGTACCGTTATGCTAGTAAGCGCAGTTTGACCACCTAATATTAACAACAGTACATCGAGTTTTAGATGACAATAGCTAGTGTGGAGGAGCTGTAGGTACCGTCTGGCTGGTGCCCCTCTTCGTCCCTGTATCGGTTGGTGTGCATGTTCCAGATGAGCTGGTGGGCGAGTAGCTGCGACCGACCCGCCGCGTACTTTATGAACTCCGCTACGTAACCCATCTGTAACATTATTGATATCAAGTATTAAATAAGGGGAAATTATTACGAAATAAATTTTAGGTTTTGTTTTTCATCTTGGCATTACACATAAACTTTGCAAGCAATCGATATAGTTTATGTCTAAGTAGAAAAATTTTCAACAACTATGCGCGATTTTGGCACCAAATAGATATTGATTATGGAATCATCTACACGTAGAAACTTTCAAATAAAGATGTACAGGAATATCATATGTATGTACCTAGTACTAAATATACCGTACAGGCTTTCGAGCTTGCGTATAATCAACTTGTTGAATGCTTGTTGTTGTTTCACGTGAAATCGGTGTCAAAATATAATGTTTATTTTTGTTATCTAAAACAAAGATTGAAGTTCATGTCACTCATGGACTGAGAATTAAAGAAAACTAAATGAATATAACATTTTCATTCATAACTTTATTATACTAATAGTTCCGACAAACAACCGTGTAGTGTAGCACATATACTGGGTTACAATACCTAAGCGCTTGAAAACTGTCTTGATAATACAGAGTCTGTCTATATAATTAAGAGTGATACAGTTTACTATATCATATCGCACCTAGGGACAACAGTTTACCATGACATATCGCACCTAGGGGCAACAGTTTACCGTGTCATATCGCACCTAGGGACAACAGTTTACCGTGTCATATCGCACCTAGGGACAACAGTTTACCGTGTCATATCGCACCTAGGGACAACAGTTTACCGTGTCATATCGCACCTAGGGACAACAGTTTACCGTGTCATATCGCACCGAGTGACAACAGTTTACCGTGTCATATCGCACCTAGGAACAACAGTTTACCGTGTCATATCGCACCTAGGGACAACAGTTTACCGTGTCATATCGCAGTGCTTGTACGAGTTGAGGGATGTAGAAGAGCACGGTGTCGGGGGGGTAACCGGACAGCACGCGCACGGCGTACTGGGCGGTGATCGGGTGCGGGGGGAACTGGCGCGAGAAGAACGCAAGCGCCCGAACTGGCGGCACTGCCGCCCACGTCAACATCGAGTTCAGCTGCAATTTCATTAGAAAAGGTGAGAAAAAACGTAAAAAATTAAAAATGTTTCATAATGGAATTGAAAAAATTAATTTTTCTTGGAAACGCCGTTATCACGGCAATTTAACATGGTAATTGTTGTTGTACAGAGTTGGGAAAATTTAAGGCTACATGGGTCGCACAATTTCAACACCTAGAGGCAGATTTATCGTATTTGACTGGAGGGTTTAACTTAAAAAGCCGTCAGTGTTTGGCTGACGGAGCAATGAAATAATAAATATTCTTGATAGTCCGGCCCCATGGGCAGTATTTTAGCTGACCTGCTGCAGATCAGACATGATGTTCTCGGAAGTGCTGAGGAAGAAGAGAGCGTCCGGCAAATGAGAGACAGGCAGCGGGTTGTGGCGCACCAGCCGACGGAGCTCGCTCTCGATACTCGCCACATTGTTCAGTCTGTGACAGTAACAAATAATATTAGAAATTTTCTCATAATAATATCATGAACTAGTATAATAATATCTAATGATACAATGAACGTAGTATGGGCTAGCATTGCTTTATCTGGTAAGGCGTGACAAGGTTTTACCTAGTAGTGAGATGCCTTCCTAGTGAGATGCATCAACGCATTCTCGTGGACGCTTGTCAAAATTAGGTAATGAATGGTCTACGTCCCGACCTACGGTAGCCAGGTCTCACATAGTGGGGAGATAAACAGGTCTCCCAAGTGGGTAGATTAACAGGTCTCACATAAGGAAACCTAGGTCTCACATAAGGAAACCTAGTTCTCACCTAGTGCTACTCAGGTCTCATCAAGTGGTACCCTGCTAGAGGTCTCACCTAGTGGTACCCTGCTGGAGGTCTCACCTAGTGGTACCCTGCTAGAGGTCTCACCTAGTGGTACCTAGCTAGAGGTCTCACCTAGTGGTACCCTGCTAGAGGTCTCACCTAGTGGTACCCTGCTGGAGGTCTCACCTAGTGGTACCTAGCTAGAGGTCTCACCTTGTGGTACCCTGCTAGAGGTCTCACCTAGTGGTACCGAGCTTGAGGTCTCACCTAGTGGTACCTAGCTAGAGTTCTCTCCTAGTGGTACCTAGCTAGAGGTTTCACCTAGTGGTACCCTGCTAGAGGTCTCACCTAGTGGTACCTATCTAGAGGTCTCACCTAGTGGTAGCTAGAGGTCTCACCTAGTGGTAGCTAGAGGTCTCACCTAGTGGTAGCTAGAGGTCTCACCTAGTGGTATCTAGCTAGAGGTCTCACCTAGTGGTACCCTGCTAGAGGTCTCAACTAGTGGTACCTAGCTAGAGGTCTCACCTAGTGGTGGCTAGAGGTCTCACCTAGTGGTCCCTAGCTAGAGGTCTCACCTAGTGGCACCTAGCTAGAGATCTCACCTAGTGGTACCTAGCTAGAGGTCTCACCTAGTGGTGGCTAGAGGTCTCACCTAGTGGTCCCTAGCTAGAGGTCTCACCTAGTGGCACCTAGCTAGAGATCTCACCTAGTGGTACCTAGCTAGAGGTCTCACCTAGTGGTGGCTAGAGGTCTCACCTAGTGGTCCCTAGCTAGAGGTCTCACCTAGTGGCACCTAGCTAGAGATCTCACCTAGTGGTACCTAGCTAGAGGTCTCACCCAGTGGTACCTAGCTAGAGGTCTCACCTAGTGGTACCTAGCTAGAGGTCTCACCTAGTGGTACCCTGCTAGAGGTCTCACCTAGTGGTACCTAGCTAGAGGTCTCACCTAGTAGGGAGATAAACAGCTAGAGTAGGCGAGATATCCCAGGCAAGGGCGGTGTTAGAGGCCCAGGACTTGGCGGCGTTGAGGTTGGCCGAGAGCCATCGCGAGACGGACTCCTCGAGCGGCGACGTGACGTCACTGCCGCTGCTGGCTTGCGGTTGCGGGGGATACACGAACACGCGCACTGCCTGCAGCTCCACCGCCTTCAGGAGCGGAAGATAGGCGTGATAATGCGTTGAAAATGAGATGATGGTTAAGGAAAAGACTGGAAGATAAATGTGAGCGATGAATGAAGCTTTATTTACATATATATATTACTGACAGGAGAGTAGAAATAGATTTATCCCGTTTACGAAATAAATCTATTCGTTCGTTTCGTTTACGTTATCATACTTGATGATCATAATAAGTACATTCGCCCTATATTTGATTTATTGACAACATTATTATGTACAGATCCAATCAGTTTCTAGTTGCATGTGGTGAATAAATATTGCAAATCAATTATTCCGTAAGTAAGAGCTCACGAGTAAAGTTAGGATGAGCGTGCGCTTCTTGAGATAATCTTTGACGTAAGTCTCTGGATGAGTCAGGCGCTTTGACCGAGACGAGCGTTTGCTGAGTGTGGATGTGTTGGATGACAGCGGTACGGTATTGATCCAGCCTCCGTGGTCCAGTGTGGATGAGCGAACCTGCCGCATGAGATCTCATGAAGAAGGGAAAAGGAGGAGTGGAACATAGGACGAATGGGATAGAAAAACAAAGAAGAGGAATGACACCAATGACAAAGGTGATAAAATAAACAATTTACTGTTCGCTGTACAGCCACGAGATTGTAGTTTATTACAAATTATATTATACAATGTTGAAAAGCAGGACGATTAGGCAACATTAAGAAATTTTCTTTGGGAGTAGGGGTAAAATACAGGTGGGGATTATTATGTTGCAAGAGAAGCTTTATAATTGAAAAATTAAAACACTTATAGACTACATGAGGAAATAGGAGCAGGAAAAAAATCGAGATGATGTTTTCATGTGTTATACATACACGGAAGATAAAATAAAAATAAATGACTTTCATTCGCAGACAAATTTTGTAGGACGTAATATGTTGCTAGAGAGTGGAAGTTTACCTCAGCTGAAGGAGAGAGGGAGGCAGAGTCGTTGCTGTTCGGGCCGCCACCAGCCTTTGCAGGCACGAAGTCTCCCACGGAGCTCGTCTTGAGATGCTTCTTGTCAGCATACAGAGCGTTCCAGAAATGCAGCAAGCTGTTGTAGTCTTTCTGATGGATGGTGATGTACGTAGTCAGAATCTAAATGTAAATACTCTTTGACATGTAAATATGAATTGTAAAGAAAATTGTGAACCGCACTGAAGAGTGAAGACCTCTAAGAGAGCTGTGGTGGTGCAGTGGTGAGCGACTATGTCTCTCGCACCCAGCTCCCGGATTCGAGTCCCACTGAGGACAAGTTCTACCGGGAAGCTCAGCTCATGGTCAACTCAGCCATTCATCCAACTCTGGTTGATAAATGAGTACCTGGCTTGTCCAGGGTGTTGTGTAATGCAATAAAATGGTTCTGGCGGGTCAGCGAGCCAGTGATGGTCGTAGAACTACCAGTGGTACCGAGTGCCCGGAAAAACTGACCTATCACCCCCCCTCCCTAGTCGCCACTACCAGGATGGGCAATTACAACAACAAGACCTCTAAGAACTAATTTTATTGCTATAGTGTGGTATGAGTAATCAGGAATAAAGGCTAATATTGGGAATGAATCTTTTGAATATGACACATGTTGAGAAAACTGCCGCAAGAGCTCCTCACAAACATCAGTGGTATAAACTATTAGGCCTCAGGTTTAACATAGTAACTCTTAGGTTTAAAATGTTAATAAAATTTTCTCACGGCGTCAGGAATCGAAGCACCGGAAACCAAACGTGTTATGATCTCATTGCCTTTGCGCCGCAGCTATCCTATGCAGAGATCATCAATAAGTACTCCTTACATTTGTAAGTAGTATGCTTGATACTTGAGTGTCAATAAATACTTAACACTAATTGGCACTAAACTTGAGTATCAAACTGTAAACTCATAGACACTAACCTTGAGAGCAGCAGAGCGCTGAGGAGGCACTGAGCGAGGTCTGCAGAAGTAGTCGAGGCTGGAGCAATAGATGCGCTCCCTAAGGACATTCTTGCTGATGGAGCGAGGTAAAGAATCGCTCTGCACCAGCGTCAGCGCGCACTGCAATAAACGAAATCGCGTGCCTATGGCGGCCGTGTGACGGGAGATCCTCGACGATGCAGAACCTACAACCACGTCAAGAGTTCGGTGAAATAAAGAAACGAGCATCGCAACTTGGGCGTCGCTGTCGTAGCGAGCTACTTCAAGACGTTCACCAAGGAACTTGATCCAAATGTCATGTGGTACGACGTCTGGGGAAGAAGGGTCAAGTTTACAGCCTTCATAGGCGGCTAGAGGATCAACCGTGACCACAAGAGGGGAGAAAAGCCCAAGTTGCAAGTCAATGCTTTCTTGCCATGCCGCTATCATCTGCTGCATGAAAGGCAGAGTGAGGTCCTGCCTCGCTGAGAGGATCCACTGCCAGCAAGCAACTGTGTTCTCCATTGTTTCTTCTGTAAAGAACTGCAGACACGAGCAGCAGACCAGACGCAGTAGCACTCGTTCGCAACCTTCGACTGCGATCAGAAGACTCGTTGCGCGCCAGAGGGCCACTGTAAAGTCCTGTTGGCTGTTCTCTGCCGCGGCGGTTTTCAAGTCCGATGCCAATTTATCAATGACTGCTTTCTTCTTGTCGTCTGACACCGAGCCGGCTAGCAACAGCCCCGCTATTTCTCCTTCATACCTGAACAATGGAACTCAAGTTGTTTGAAATATAATAAGTAGATAAAACGGTTCGATGATAAACGAGCAACAGCAGCTAAGAATTTAATCGAAATAGAAGAAAACAAAAGAAGTGATACACTTTACTAGAATAATAATTTGTACGTCAGAACTCTAAAAATTCCGTCAAGTTAAAATTTTACTTTTAATTGCGAGTAAAAGATTGACATTTTTTTGTTTGAACTAGAACATGTCGCTTTCTGGAATGTCACCTGGTCCGCAGGCACAGAGAGCGTACGAAGGAAGCAGTCAAATTCGAGGACTCAGCTTGTTCAGCAGTCGAGTCCTGCAATTGAGAGCAAGTCAACAGAATGAGAACAGCAATAAACAGCATTAGGACTAAGAAAATTATAAGAACAGCAATAAACGGCATGGGAATAATTAAGAGCATGAGTACAGTAATAAACTGCTTGAGATAAGTAAACCTTCAGGATAATACTAGCGATCATAATCTTGATAAATCTTCTGGAAATATAGCGGCAGAAATGCCACTGTGGGGAGTTTAGGCAGGTGTATACCAACAAGTGCAATAGGCCGGATCCAGAGATCAAGTCAAAAGACTGTACATGAAACGACGGAATACAGGATAACTCCAAGATTTTATTGAGAAGTCATGAGTCGTGCTATCAAAAGTTGCGTAATGCACGCAGCGGCCTAAGAACATGTAGCGGCCGATTTCTCGTTTATGATCATCATGTTATGTCTGAAAAGCAGTCAATGATTGGCTGACGGAGTTGCAAACCCTAAATAATTTGATAGTACAGCCCTTGGTTGACGCTACCCATTCGTACGGCCATTATTATCGAGTTACAAGATGAAGGAGGACGACAAAATTTTTCCATTCCTGATAACGGCTATAATCATCAGTTTAAAAGATGTGCCCGTACGGCCATAATTATCAAGTTAAAAGACGAAAATGAAAGGAACGATGAGTTGGAAGAAGACCTGAGGTGGCCTGTAACGTTACAAGATGTACAGAAGGAGGGCAATGAGGTAGATGAAGACTTGAGGTGGTCTATAACGATACAAGATGTGTACAGAAGGGGGACACTAAGGTAGACAAAGACCTGAAGTGGTCTATAACGATACAAGATGTACAGAAGGGGGACACTAAGGTAGACAAAGACCTGAAGTGGTCTATAACGATACAAGATGTACAGAAGGGGGACGCTAAGGTAGACAAAGACCTGAAGTGGTCTGACGACGGTATGCAGGAGTGAGGCGAGGGCGGTGTTGGGCCCCAGCTCGGCATGGGAGGCCTGGTAGTGCTGCAGGTGCGACCACGTCGCTTCGGGCGCCCACTTCATCGCCTCCTGCAGGATCTCCTGGCACCGGTTACGGAAGTCCACGACTGTCCGCTGGTGTGGAAATTCATAGATATTAAAGCTTATTTAAATATTTTAGTTATCAAAGTCAGGAAATAGTGGAAATTACTGCACGTAAATGCTTATTGAAATAGTTTTGTTAAAACAGAGTTACGCTTGGTTAACGGCGTCAGAAAATTGTGGAAATTACCGCAGGCAAAAAGTAACTGAATTTGCTTTTTTAATGACTTTCGGCTAGTTTATGACGTTAAGAAATTGAGAAAATTACTGCAGGTAAAAAAGTGTATTTAGTTTTACGGCGATGAAATAAAACGAGTTACACTAATATTGAAGATGCAAAAGTTGATGAATTCATTTTGTTCTAAATAGTTTAAACGTGCGGTGCAAGAATCGAATTTACAATCGCCAGGCTCAGGGTAATCATAACGCGTTTTCATCGCAATAGTTTGAAGGAAATCGAAGGATTTTCCTGATAATGGTGGCAAGCTGAATAACTCAAAACCTTAGAATTGAATTGCAAACAAATCACGGAAAATTCCTAATTCCATAACTTAATCCAAGTTGTTATTACACAAAAATATGACTTTTGTTTACATTGACTTGGCACTTGAATTCGCAATTGACAAATTACCTACTCAACTGATTACAATGCTGTTAAATTACTAGCTAATTACGTAGTTAACTTATTACTATGAGACGTAAATACCCGAACTAACAGAACTGGTCACCTGTCTAGCTTCGAGGGTGTCCATGAGAGTGATGCTGAAGGGGGTGTGGGGGATCGCCAGCGTGGGGTTAGCATCGTTGGGGTCGAGCTGCAGAGCTCTCGTCAGCACCTGCAGGATGTCTAGCAGAGTCTGCAGCACACGACCGTTCCACAGCACCAGCGGAAATCTGTTCAATATTCAAAATTTAATAATTGAAAAAAAAATTATTAATATCATCCACGAGTATACCTATACTCGTAATTGATCAACCCGTAGAATTTAATCATTGAACCCCAATTTAAATTATTAATATCAGGCAGCATACAAAATTGTGTTATAATTCTCAATTGTGAACGTACATTAGGTTGGTTTATTTTTCCTACCATCTTTTTAATGCATCAGTAGAAAAAAATTTATCAGCGCGTTTTGGCGACACTAACCTCTTCTCCATAGCAAAAATATTGCTGATCATTTATTAAGATCCATAATTCAAAAATGCAAATTCAATAAAATTTTAGACTTAATATTGGTCGGAAAGAAACATTATTATATATTCGGGAAAACATATGAAAATAAGAGCATGTATTGTACTAAAGAACAGCAGAAATGTAGCCGCTGGGTGTCAGTGTGGGCAGGAATACACTGAGTAGTTATCACTGTCTGCATGCTTCAAACGTCTCGCATGCTCTCATTGTGTCACCAATGTCGGAGGTTGTAAGAGAGTATTAATAAATAATATTAAATATTAATGAATATCGATTCCCAGGTCAAGGTGGTAATTTAGCAATTTTTCGGTTGTATTCGAGGGGGCGAGAAAAGTCATTATCTGTTTAAATTCGAAAATACGTATCAACGTCAACATTCGTGAAAAGGGTCCGGGTTTTTTGTATAATCATGCATCAAGTCACATGTTAGAGGGTACAAGCTTACTGTGGAATCTACTAGCGGATACTGGATAATATAGTCAATAAATTGAAGGGTCACTGATATATTTTTCCCCACGCACTCACCTGTCGACGAGCTTGGAGAGAAGTTTATCTGCCGTACGTCTGATGGGCTGCAGTGTGTGGTTGAAGTGCGTGAGCAGAAACTGCGCGTGTTGCACCAAAAGTCCTTCACGAGTTTCGTCCCGCTTCTGCTCCATCACGCGGTCCAGGAACAACTCGAACACTTTCTCCAACAACCTTGAAATTAACCATACGAAGGTCATTTCTCGAAAAATTTTAAAGCTAACAGAACACTAGAAATTGTTCCAATAATGTTGAAGACAAACCATATTACATTCCACATTCTAAAGTAAACCACATACGACCTTAAATTTTTTTTGTTCGAGTCCCTCACCTGATAGGCCTAGAAATTATCACAGTAAAACATTTCAGTCTCTATAACATTAAACTATCCTTTACCTAGTAACCACCTACATTCTCCCTCCATGAACTACACCGAAGAGACTTAAATTTTTATTAAGCGCATTACTCCGTCTTGTTGCTGCCCTGGCCACCGTTGCTCTATCTTTATAAGATTTCTTGACAAGTGACAAGCTTCCTAATCTGGACACTTGAAGAAATGTGTATCACTTGAACTGAGGAAAAAGAATACCTTGAACGTTTAATAGATAAAAAAATGGGGAAAAAACAAGGAAAACCCCGTTAACGAGCGGTTTTAGGTAGGAAAAAAAATAATAAAAAATAAAATATACCTGTTGACGAGCGCCCACATGTCGTCCTTGTCGTAGCGAATGGCGGGGTCCAGGAGATACTCCAGGAGCGGCTGGAAGTTGGGCTGCTCGCAGCTCCGGATCCTGGAGTAATTAATAACGAATTTTTAATATAAATCAAAAATAACACCGGCATTCCACTATGAATACAATGACGATGAGCACTAGTGATGAACAATGAAGTAAATGATCATAATGTCAGAAGTACGTAAGCAGAGCAGCGTAAATGTTATAAAGCATTTCTCGCCTCAAAATGAGCACTAATGTCAGAAGTAAGCAGAGTTACGTAAGTGTTCTAGAGAATTTCTCGCCTCAGAGCCTCGAGCCTGTAGACCGACAGGAGGTAGATGCACTGCGAGAAGGAGAGCTTCAGGACGCTGGGCGTCAGGTCCGCAGGATAGTCCAGCAGCGTCACGATCTGCTGACGAAGCTCCTGCAGCTCCGACTGACCAGAGAGGAGGATTGATCAGCGGTCTAGAACTGGGACGATCTAGAGCTGGTATGATCTAGAACTGGTACGATCTAGAGCTGGTATGATCTAGAACTGGTTCGATATAGAACTGGTACGATCTAGAACTGGTACGATCTAGAGCTGGTACGATATAGACATGGTACGAACTAGAACTGGTACGNAGAACGAGTAAGCAGAAGAGGGATAAACTAACAATGTAAAGGCATTTAAGAGAAGCAACCGAGTCAGTAGAATGGACGTAGCTATAGACGATATTGTAAATAAGCGACACATCTCAGATGTAAAAGGAAGAAGCGAATGGAGGATGACACTGATCCAGCCAAAAGAAATCTCATGTGCCAATCAAGTTTTTTAATCAGAAAGGTAAAATTTACTCCATCAGCCGCAGTTAAATTTATTCATAAATCCGTTCAAACTTTAGAACATTATTATTTGTTGATCTAGATCAAAATTGATGAAACTCACCAGAGCGACTGAGTACAAGATTATGACATTATTTTCATTGTAAGATAGGAACATTATCATCGCAAGAAGATTTGGATATTATCATCATAAAAATATTTTATGTTGATACTGATCAACACTGATAAAGCTCACCAGAGCGACGGAGTCGTCCCGGACGGCGTAGGTGTACTTGAGTTCCTTCATCTCAGATCTGTTTTGAGTTCGGGAGAGCAGCAGGGGCGACTTCTCTGCGATGTGCCCCACACACCCGTACCACTCGGCCGGCCAGATGGCTGCACAACAATAATAAGGTTGAGGAATACAGGACAGTAATGCTGGGGGAATACAGGACAGTAATGCTGGAGGAATACAGGACAGTAACGCTGGGGGAATACAGGACAGTAACGCTGGAGGAATACAGGACAGTAACGCTGGGGGAATACAGGACAGTAACGCTGGGGGAATACAGGACAGTAACGCTGGGGGAATACAGGACAGTAATGCTGGGGGAATACAGGACAGTAATGCTGGGGGAATACAGGACAGTAACGCTGGGGGAATACAGTACAGTAACGCTGAGGGGAAACAGTGCAGTGCTGAACATAAAACATTTTACTTTCGAGACAGAGTATGTATGAAGTGCCTTGAATTTATTGAAACATAAATCTGTGGTCATAATAGGAAACTCAGAATGAATTAATTTAATAAAGTTACTTTTAAAAACCTCGTAGAAACATTATTCAAGTTATATTGCAAAGGGTATTTTGGGACTCATAAGATTATAAACGATATTGATAACTGAGCAAAGAGAGTGCATCACCTCATAAAATGCTAGTCAACAGTAAACATGAGATAAAACTATAACATTACATCAATCATTCAGAGACATTAACAAATATTAATAACATACGAATAATTATTGGCAAAAAAACGTTCTTGACTAAGAACTATAAACGACAGAACCCACAGGAAAAATTGAGTCATCAAACTTTCAATCCATTCACCATTTCATGAAGTACTATTTTCATACTTGACGTCTGAATTCATTCATCTCATATATATTATCAAACTCATCTATCGGTTAATAAACTCTTAGGCGACAAGGCCGTCTAGGTCGAGTAACTACAGCAAATCTATTACAGATTGAAGAAATAAAAAACTGCTTTCTCTTAATAATTAATAATAATAAATAAAAACATTCGTTTAAGCTCACCAGATACACGAAAAAAAATACAATTCAGTGAAATATTTAGAAGCCTACCCGTTAGGAATTCCTCCACAGATCATAAGAAATAAAATAGACTAATTTTTACTCATAATTAATAAAAAATATTATTCTCAGCTCACCAGATTCACTGGATGCAAAGCCCATGACGATACAGAGCAGCCAAAAGTCCCTGAAAAGTTTGAGGAGTCGAGGGTTGGGCTGCTTGATGGGCTGGAGTCTGCGTACCAGCACTGCCAGCACCGGCACCAGCACACCGAGACTGCCAGCACTGCTCGACGCCTGCAATTGTGAGTACAGTGAGTACAGCACTGAGTACAGTGAGTACAATAGTGAGTACAATGGTGAGAACAATGGTGAGTACTATGGTGAGTGCAACAGTGAGTACAACAGCGATTACAACAGTGAGCACAACTGGTACAATTTACTTCGATCAAACGGTCATTGTCGCCTGTCAAAGTTAATATTATTGAATGAATTTCCAATAATAAACTGGCATCCGCACTCCAAGACTCCCATCATTGCTTCACACTAGTGATATAGAAGTGTTGAGGTAAAAATTCAGTTTCAGTCTCTTGCACAAACTATATAAACTATTACAATTCATTAAACCCAAACCAAGTATAGAATCTTAAGAAACTAATGCTCAAAATCCAAGCTGTGGAAGTCTTGAGGTCATAATTCAGATTTTCTCACACACAAACTATATAAACTATTACAATTCTCTAAACCCAAGCCAAGTATAGAATCTTAGGCAACTAATGATCAAAATCCAAGTATCTTATTGATAGATTATGAAGCCACACCTTAAGCACAGCAGAGTTCTTCTCAGAATTGCTCTTGACGGCAAGACCGATTTTGACGAAGAGTTCGAGGAGGTTGGTGAGGAGCGTCAGCATCTCCTCCTGACCAGCGAGCATAGCGCACACGTTCGCCAACACGTTGTGTACGCTCCACTCAATGTGCCTGCGCACATTTGTGCGCTTTATTACACGTTTCCATGTTCGAAAAATGCTTCTAAGTATGAAAAATAACGCAAATTAAGTGGGAATCAAGTGATACAAATCATATGGTAAAATTGATCGAGAGCAAATCAAGGTCTCTAATGTGATATGTTATNCAGCGCCCATTACCAACTCGCACTCCCTGCAAACAACAAATTAATTAATAACCTTTTTTTGATTTATGACTTGATTCATAGGCAGTGCTCATTACCAACTCGCATTCATTGTAACCAACAAACTGATTCGTAATCGTTGTGGATTTGTGACTTAAATCTTAAGCAGCATTAGAGTAGGTTACTTGTTCTGTAAGTATTCATTTTAACAATGTAGTGGCTTGCAATTTCACTATATATTTTTTTCAATTTCCAAGTAAGACTTGACTAAAGAAGGTAACACAATAAAACGTACCTACTACGGATGGCCTAGAATTATAAGTACTTGGTTCTGTACAGCGTCTTACTTACAAGATTATAGATCATCAAGAGTAACAAGTTAGCGTGGGTATTAGGGTGCACATACACACACGCAGGAACATACATATTCCCAGTTATGTAGGTAAGCTCAAGTTCTGCCCTGAAGACCAGAATGTTATTGCCAGCGTTGCAGGACGATTTGTAACATTGAACTGGCGTAGCCGTGAGCGGTGCCGAGCAGAACTCATCATAATGGCATAAGATTGAGCGTGTGTCTTGTATGATCACGCGTGTGTCTTCTTTGGAAACAATTCACAATTTGTGTGAATCCATACCTCAAAGAATTGAGGCTGTAATTGCCGTAAAAGGTGGACCAACACCATACTAAAATATATTTTGTGGATTTCTCACGCGTTTCCCTTATTTTGCCTAACCCCTGTACCTATATCTCACTTCTGGGTAGCGTGGTTGCCCTGGTTGAGGAGGTGTGGAGACACACGAGCGACGTAGGCGAGGGCAGCGTCAGGATCGATGGAGCGCGCGGCGAGGAGGGCGACGCAGAGCTGCCGGATCGCCAAGTCCCTGAGCTCCTCGAACTCGCGGCTGCTGCTGCTGTTGTGACGGCCGTCTGAGCCCCACGTTCCGCTCGACACTGACCACCATAAAACAAGTTACAGATCATCAAAGACAAATAGATCGTTTTCCGTCCTGACCTCCAGCTCGACACTGACCACCATAAAACCAATTACAGTTCATCAAAAGCAAACAGCTCGTTTACCATCCTTGGTACCTCCAGCTCCACACTGACCAGCATAAAACAAGTTACAGTTCATCAAAGACAAACAGATCGTTTTCCGGGCTAACCTCCACTGACCACCAGCTCTACACTGAGGCACAGACCAAAGTACACTTGACGTTCCTAATCAAAGCCAAATAGATTTTTTTTTCATCCTGATATCCGGCCCAAACACTGAGGACCGTAAAAGTAACGTCATGAATTCTAGCCTATCAGATTGTTTATCGTCTTGACAAATCGCTTTTAACTGACGAAACAACTGAGAAAACCTCATAGATTCTTAGTGCCGACGTTCTTCCTAACTCTGACAACCATCCAACACGTCATAGTTAATCATAACCTAATTAATAATTTATTGTAGCTCTTGATACAGACAAAATTCAAGCGTATCACTGTTAAAGAAAATGCATCATTAGTTTTCGTTCTGCAGGAAACAAACTACCGTAACACAGTTCATCAAAGTACTTATATTAATTATCAGTCTGCTTATGTCGCAAGGAATTTAAAAGCAAAGAAAACACCAAGTAAATTCACCACATCGATATTGAAAACGTTTCGGAGTCCAGCTCCATCATCAGTTCGAAATTTCGACCTGATGATGGAGCTGGACTCCGAAACGTTTTCAATATCGATATGGTGAATTTGCAGTTCATCAAATCACACATCCATCAGAATGTTCACCAGTGACAGGAGGGTTAGAGGACGACGGGGGGCGGTACAGGCGCAGCAGGATGGGCGACGGGTCCACCAGAAAGTCGGTGATGTAACGCACGCTCATGTTGCTCATCCCAGGGAACCGTTCAGCCATCACACCCAGACCCTGTGCACGTGAAGCTCGTCATTTCGGTGCGTAGAATACAATTATTCAATTCTGTTATTTGCTCGAGTAGTTACACATTGACTAAATATTTCTAATACCAGATTTTTCAATTAATGGTAAACTTTGATGAATTTCTTGAACTTTTCCACAGGTTGAACACAAGTAAATGAATAACACTAAAAGTCCAGTGAGAATATTTCAAGTGTGCAAGAACCTAGGGCCGTACTATCGAAACTTGGTTAATTAACGTACATGCGGCTCTAAATACACGTAGCAGCATATTTCACGGCTATGATTGGTGGGCATGGCTTGATAAGCCGTCAGTGATTGGGTGACGAAGTTACGAATCTCGCAACTATTATACTATTAAATAATATAATATATAATTATTTGCCTCACTATTATGTATAATAGTGAGGCACCTGAACATCATAATTATGAAGAAAGACCTTCAACCCAGCCACAACCTAAGAACCACTATACTGTGTCAAATGACAATATTTAAACATGAGGATGATAGCATACCTGAAGACATATGCGCATAAGAGGCATGTGTGCAAGCAGCATACGCGGGGAGTACAGCTTCTCCTTCAGTCGACGGCACAGCTTCTCAGCTTCTGTAAATGTAATAATTATGATTAGTATTTAGATATTATATTGATGATTGTAATTATATATGATAGTACTCATATAACGTTAAATCTTCAGCATGATTTAAAATGCATTCTGATACAGAAGGGCAAGTCGGAATAAAGAATCAAACCGAAAATTTACTTGTATTATATGTCCGAAAATAGATATAATTGAGTCTCAAAATAGTCTCATGGATAGATAAAATTTTATTGAAATCAGACGAAACATATAAAATTATTTAAAAAAAAATATAACTCAGTACTCAGTGAAGTGAGTGACAGAGAGCGCATTTTCTCGTCGACGAAAACTTGAGGTCACGGACAGACGGACGGACAGACGGACGGACAGACAGACGGACGGACAGACAGACGGACGGACGGACATGGCGAGCACAATAGTGCATTTTTTCCATAAATGAGAAAATGCGCTAAAAAGAGACTACACCACATTAAACCGTGAATGCAAAGTATCGGCTTCGTCAGTGACAGCATAAATTTTAATATAAGGTACTTATATTATCAGTCTGCTTATATCGCAAGTTCACAAGGAATTTAAAAGCAAAGAAAACGCCAAGCAAATTCACCATATCGATATTGAAAACGTTTCGGAGTCCAGCTCCATCAACAGTTAAACAATCTAAAAATGAATACAATTATTTCATAAGTCAAAATTCTAAGTCAGACACAAAACCTAACCTGTTTTTTGACTTAATGTTAGGTCTGTTTTAGGTTTTATTTCTGATTTCGAATTTTTACATGTAAAATGATTGTATTCATTTTTAGATTGTTTAACTGATGATGGCGCTGGATTCTGAAACGTTTTCAATATCGATATGGTGAATTGGCTTGGCGTTTTCTTTGCTTTTAATATTTAATATTATATGAAGAAGGCACTACATTAAGTCATGAATGCAAAGTGTCGGCTTCGTCCGTGACGATATTATATTTAATATTATGTGAAGAAGTCACTTCATGACATCGAGTCGTACCGGCTTCGTCAGTTTATATTTAATATAATGCAAAGAAGAAAGTACATAAAATTGAGAGTCAATTAGCATCGGCTTTGTCAGTGACGAGATAATATTTAATATAATGTAAAGAAGACACTACATTAAATAGTGTATCAACTCGCACCGGCTTCGTCAGTGACGGCCCAGACGAGGAGCTCGACGCAGGCAGCGTTGGCGCGCACGACGAGCTTGTGGGCGTTGAAGGGGGCGCCGCGGAGGGCGGTGCTGCTGCCCTCGCCCCCCATGAGCTCCGTGTGCCCCGTCAAGTACAGCGACATCACGAAGTCTTGTACGTCGCGCGTGAACGGCGCAGGCAGGTCTGAAATGTAACCAGATTAAATCCCGGGACTTTTGTTATGCACAGACCATTGATGTGCGACCCGTGAATGATACGAAGAAAACCTAAAAAATATGTTAGCCAAAAATGCTGCAGATGGTGCATTCCAAAGTGCTAGGTAACTAAAGAAACCGTGCGTAGCTTGAGCCCATAATACATTGAAATGAGGCATCTATACATCTTCTCTCCATTTATAACAGCCAAGTATTTATTGCGAATACTGTTTGCAAACGTATGCCAACAAAATTTTTGTTGATGTTAACACTATACCGGTACTCGTTTCAGAGTAGGGTTTGCGAACTCCGTTCTTCAACGTTTTCTACCAATGGTAGGATTTGAGTCATCCACTGGCAGCGCAGACATTAAATTTCTGAAGTTGAAATTTGCAACTGAACTTTTCAGCTTCCTCAGAATGATTGATAACGCAGATACAATGCTGGGAATTTGGACCTAAATCTCCACTAAAAGAACCTCTTACGAGTAACGCTGCGAGGAAACGAATGCAGAGCACCACCTCCCCTTTGTCTGAAATGTCAAAAGCAAAAATACCGAAATCCCAGCCAACGCCCCAGAGCCAACGCCACCAAAGCGGAGACTACTCTGCAGAGGAAGAATCCCGCAGAGAGAAAGTAAGGAAAGAATAGCCCTTGCAAAGAGCTTTGAAATGAGCCTAAACTTGTTTATGAAATGTTTCATGGTAAGAAGTTATGAATGAAAAACTTTCGAAATCGTCCCGAGTAGCCCCGGTTGACGGTATGTTGGGGAGAACAATGTTTCCAAAAGTCTTGAAAGCAATTTTGTACAAATACAGGAGGCATTGAATTAACTGTAGAGCTCAGCAAGTCTAGGCAGATGATGGAGGAAAGATCAACATGGGAGAGTGCATTTCGTTACTGATTCAGAAAATCGGACATTAGAGTTAGAACATAAATTAACAGTTGTGCAAAGTTCAGCATGCATGAAAACCCTACAAAAGAGGGTTCATGCTCTCTCTAGTCTCAGCCTTGTTGCACAGAGACAGACATCATCAGGTTTTTCTTTGTACAGATATAGTTTGATTTCTCTGAGCTTTTCATGTAATCCAGGAATATTTAATTGCACTCATAGATTCAATTGCAATTGCACTCAGTTCTCTTCTGCTATGACTAGTTAACAGCAAGGATTTTACAGAGTAGCTTATTGTTATTGTGCTGAACTGCTTGCAATACTGTAAAATGTGGTAACTTTGACTCCCAGGGTAACTTTGACCACTTTTTGTTTTTTTTTAACAAAAACCCCCAAAACTCAAAGACGTAGAAAAATTTTGTCAATGGGCATAAAAGGCCTAATACTGAGGCTACGTAATACAATAGAAAGATTTAAAAAGTTTGCATATTTAATAGGTTAAAAAATTAAAAATGCGACCCACAAAAAAACTATTATTTAAAGCCTGTCGGAGTGCGTACCCCCTCCAATTTTTTTATTTTTTTGGCACAATAACTCCAGGTTTTGATGCATTGTAGTAGAGCTCTTCTAGTTACATATGCAAATGAAAAATTTCAGAAAAGTATCATAGTTTGCAAATGGGGGGCACCGCCCCCCAATGGGGTAACTTTGACCACGTAATGTCAGCCCTGACAGGGTAACATTGACCGGCTTGATAATTAATTTAAAATGACCATATATAACATTTAATGATTGATACACCTATTAATGTATTTTTTTCATGTTTCAGACTCTACAGACTCTAATTATTGTTAGATATAGAGTTTACACTTATAAGTATTGACCTTAGTTCAAGATGCCTAGGACCTACAAACGTCCAAAGGGGGCTCGTACCTACCAGAATTACAGCGAAGATCTTGTTGATCAAGTAGTGCAGAAGATCAAAGACAATGAAATAAGTTTGACAAAAGCTGCGAAGCAGTATGGCATCGGCAAGTGTGTTCTTTTCAACAGAGTGCATGGAAAAACTGTGCTTAGTCCTGGGCGACAGACTGTTTCTCAAAGGTAGAGGAGGCCCTTATAGTGAAGAGGACACTTCAGTGCAGTAACTATGGCTTCTCTCTCCAACCAATGGACTTGCGCATCATAGTCAAAAGCTACCTTGATTCAGAAGGGTGCACCGTTCCCATGTTTTCTATGAATTTGCCAGGCCCAGACTGGGCCCAGTCCTTCATTAAGCGGCATAGTGAGATCAGAAAGAGAGTAGCCAATGATGCAGGTAATACAGGAACAGTTAGCTATTATGTTTATTTCTTTGAAATATGTTCAAAAAATGGAAATTTTTTGCTGGTTGTGTGTTCATTGCTAAGAAGTTAATATTGTTTTCCCTGTAGAGGTACACCAGCAGGCACACCATCAAAGGTACAGAAAGAAATACCCTCTCCTAGTTCTGGGACCCCTACAGAAAGTAATACATCTAACAAAGTAAAACCCACCCTTTCAAGAAGCTAAAAGCAACTGCTCCTATCAGTGCCACTGATGAAGGATCCTGTACCTCAACAATAACTAAAAGCAGTGCACTTAAAGTGGGTAGCTTTGTGATTACCAAAGTCTATGTCAATAACAGCAGTGACAAACATCAAAAATATTTAGCCACTGTTGATCAGTTTGATGAGATTGAGGCGTCTGTCACATTCCTCCATGCAGGTGAATCCAAGACTGTATTTACAGTGGCTAAAGATGACACAGCCTCAGTGGAGATGAAGGACATTTGTGAGATATATAATTGATGTGCCTTATAAGTTTAATAGTAGAGAACAGTATGTGTTCAATGATGCTCGTGATGTAAGTCTGTAGGCATTAGCTTAGGTCAGTGAGACTCAGTCTTTATTTACGAAAGGAACATTGTTATGTTTATGAAAAAAAGTTATTACATTTATGGAAGGAAGTTGTCATGTTTATTAACAAAAGGAAGTTAGTGCATATATTTACAGAAGGAACAGTTAGCTATTATGTTTATTTCTTTGAAATATGTTCAAAAAATGAAAAAAATTTTGCCAATTGTGTGTATTTTGCTCAAAAGTTAATATTGTATTCCCTGTAAGTGAAGATAAATAAAGTGTATTGTTAAATACGTGCAAAATTATTAACATTAGGGGCAACTTAAACCAAGATGGGGTGACTAAGAACACCCAATGGGGTTACTAAGACCACCCAGTCAAAGATACCCCCAGAGCAGGGGTAAAAAAGACCATCAAATTTTTTCAAATTACATCAAAACTATGAGAGGCAGGAGCCAGCAATTTATGGTGAGTAAAGCTAGAGTATAGACCTGTATTTTGCACATTTCAATTTAAGTTTAACTTATCTAGTAAAAAATTGGCATCATTTTGAAAAAAAGTGGTCAAAGTTACCCCATTTTACAGTATTGCCTTTGCACTGTCTTTTAGTTAGTCTACCTGATTGGGAAACAATACAAGTTAACTGGGGTCTGAGAGTAAGGATGCCCAGCTTGAAAAATCAAATTTTTAACTGGCACTTGACCAGCTGTTCTTTTGGGCTAAATGGTGGAGACCTAGACACAAACTTTAGGAGTTTGAACAACTTCACCCAAAAGTCCAAAACTTGATCACAATCAGAAACACTGTTATTGGCAGGTAACCACAGTAAACCACTCCATCTGCTGCTCTGGAGCATCACTCACTTCCTGTCCAAAGTTATTTCTCATGAGACTAATGAGCCTTGAGAAGCATAGATCTCTTCTTTGTACCCTCACTCCAGGCTCCAGGGTGCAGAGGGTGTAAGCAACGTTGCCAAGATATGGAATTTTAGCCCAAAGCATTGCCTGCCATTTTCAAGATCCATCGCCAGGTAATTTTTAATAAGAAAGTGCTGCAAGTAACTTTGATAGTATATCCCTTACACTTGCAGTTTGCACATACCGGTATTGCAACTGATTTCCGGGCAAGCTTCACTGCATTCTGTTGATCCTGATCCATCCATCTGGCCGTTTCCAGCCAATCTGGTGTACTGGAAACCTTACTGTGTACTCAGTGTGTAGTACTTGCAGTCTTTCAAATTTGCAGTAATTTTGAAGTAATTTTTAAATGCAATAATTTCAATCCAAATATGTCAGCAAGATCTTTAGAAGGCATAAATTTTGCTGCTGATGCGTTGCCCAATATCTTTTAATATTCACCCACTTTCTGCACCATGGCCTTCACTACGACGCCCTATACCATATTGTGACGACTGCCTGGTGCCCCTGACAGTTCTGCATGTCTTGGCGGAGTGCCCTAGCCACAACGACATCCGACAAAACTGCTACCCCAACACATCCGCCCTTGATCTTGACGAGATGCTCACTAGAATGCTGCGGGAGGACCGGCGAAGTAACTTCGAAACCGATAACCTTAGACGATACCTGATGGAATGCAACCTGCTGCCAGAGATTTAGCATGACCCCGTAACGTCACCGCCGGTCGGTCATATGCACGTGCACCACCGCCTATCGCGAGACTATAATTGCACTTTCCCATCACCTAGACCAAGCCTCACTAAACTTATGCTGGAGTTGATACATGAAGTCGGAGCGGACCCTCGCTCCATGAGCAGGGAATCTACCGCCCAGCCCCTGCGCCTAAAATGGATCAGGCTATAAGCCTTGAAGACGGAGGAGACCAAACATCTTTGACGTAACTGAAGATCTCACCACCGGCGCGAAATAGATAGCTATCTGAAGCGCTAGTAAATCTCCTACTACTACTACTACTACTACTACTGGGAATTTGGCTTAATGCGCTAGATCTTCTCGTGAACATGCATGTCTCATCGCAACCGCTTTTTTTGCTCTTTAATAAATGAAAACAGAATAATTTTCATTTCGAGACTTTCATTTTCACAATTTAAATGAAGAAGAGTTCATTATTGGAAAAATAAGGAAGAAGTTGACAACTGTCTCTCAATTTTATATTTTTCCAGTCCTGAATAAGACTCGCTTGTTGCTATTAGTGACTAGGTTTAGACCCTCTTTTATTACCTATATAAAACATATAAATTAAAAGAATATTTGAATATAGGAAGTGTCATGCTGGAAATATCAGCAAGTCCTAACCTGAATGAGGCTGAAGGAGATGTTTCAGAAGGCCCACAGTGACCAGGTTGAGGAGTTCTTTAACGGAGGAATATGGGAAGAGTTTCATGTTGCCGCCATTGCACACCTCAGCGCACACGGCGTCCAGGGTGGTCAGTACGCTGGTGCTCAGGAGCCGCTTGGTGCAGCCTAACACAGCCTGCCCATACAAAAGTTGATATTTTTAATGGTCTTTACATACTGTAAAAGGATGTAGGAAAGCGAACCAAACAGCCTGCCCATACAAAAGTTGATTTTTTAATGGTCTTTACATAAGAAGATGTAGGAAAGCAAACTAAATTAACAAACAATTTCTCGGTGTTCATTTCAGTCTCGCACGAGAGCATAAGGTGAATTCTATTTACTCTGATTAAACAATATTGGTCAATATGTTGAAATCACAACGGTTTCATTTAATATTGAATAAGTCTTCCATCACACATTTAAGTACAAGCATTAAATTTTTCAGACATTCAGACATTAGCGTGAATCAGAAAGTCATCAAATCAAATAAGCTAACATTTAATTATTTTTTTAAACTCCAAGTAAAATTACAGCTGTCGAAAGCTGTCACAGCTGTTGGACGGTCCTTTAACCATCAAATTTTCACAGCTTGCTAAGGCTCGAACCTACAACGCACTGGAACTATCTCGGTACGCATGACCGTCACTGGTATTTTGGGTGCCAGCGCTCCCGATCAATGGTAATTTGGGTCGGGTAATTTGATTACTACTTGATTAATTGGTAACTTGTGACAACAAATGCCTCACCTGGAGATGCTGGAGGGTAAGCTTCAGGTTGCACTGCATAGGCGGCTGCAGACCAGCGCAGGTGTCGACGCTGCTGCCAGGTTTGTGCAGCAGCACCTGCAGCAGTAAAAAGTTTTACAGGTAAAACACTTATAAGCCAAATATATCCATTCACTATCAGGATAATACCATTCATTGTTTAGTCATGAGATTGGAATAAATTAGTTGTAAAGAAAGTAGGTGGCATGATTTAGAAGCGAAAGTGTTTTCGTTTTTTTTCTAGATGAATAGCGTTTATAGTTTTATTATGGTTACCTGCTGCAGTAATGAGTTGTCCATTCGCACGCTGCTGCTCCCGTCGCTGCTCGACCGGCTGCTTACATTCCTGAGGAGACAGTAAGTGATTTTGAATTACTTAAAATATTCAATTAAGAAAGAATGTCGTAAGGTATTAAAGTGTTTCTCCCTAATATCAACAGTGAAAATGAGAATTGAATTATATATTAACAGGTGCAATATAAAAAAAATAATAATTAAACATACGGTAAATTTGATTCCGAGTCTAAATGGAAACTTGGAGCACAAATTTATCCTTTAAACTAGACATAGTGTTGATGTCAGGAAAGTAAATAAACATAAACTCAGAAAATTATAGTATAAAAGTATAGTTTTAGTATAGTATAATATACCTACTTTTATAGTATTAAATAAAAACTGTTGGTTGCGTGATATGAAAAAATGAAAAATGTGCATTAAAAGAAAAGTTCCGTACTTCTGAGGCAGTTCATATGCATTGTCAGGGATTGGCGGCAGGCTGAGTAGCAGAGTTGCTGGCACGATGTTGTGGAAGTTGGACATGGAGAATTTGGTGGTTGTTTTTGGCTGGGAATTGAGCTCCTTGCTGGACTGTGGCTCGAACATGCGCAGCAGGATGGGCTGAGTCGAGCACGAGCGTCCCAACGTGCGGCACAAACCCAGTAGCACGGAGACAGGACCCCGACACAGCAACACTGCACGCGAAAAATCAACCAATGTCAAGATGGCACAAAAAATATATAGTACTAACAGTCACGAACTACTGTCAATATGGCACAAAAAATGATATAGTACTAACAGTAGCAAACAACTGTCAACATGGCATAAAAAATTGTATAGCACTAACAGTCACAAACTACTGTCAGCATGGCACAAAAAATGGTGTAGTACTAACAGTCACAAACTACTGTCAGCATGGCACAAAAAAAATGGTGTAGTACTAACAGTCACAAACTACAGTCAAGATGGCACAAAAAAAATATTGTTGCACTAACAGTCACAAACTACTGTCAAAATGGTACAAAAAATCGTGTTGTACCAACAGTCACAAACCAATGTCAAAATGGCAAAAAAAATGGTGTAGCACCAACAGTCAAAAACTACTGTAAACATGGCACAATAATTGGTGTAGTAGTAACAGTCACAAACCAATGTCAACATGGCACAACGAATGGTGTTGTACTAAGAGTCACAAACTACTGTCAACATGGCCCTACAAATGGTGTAGCACTAAGAGTCACAAACCAATGTCAACATGGCACATAAAATGGTGTAGCACAAACAGTCACAAACTACTGTCAACATGGCACAACAAATGGTGTTGCACCAACAGCCACAAACTACTGTCAACATGGAACAAAAAAATTGTGTTGCACAAGCAGTCACAAACCAATGTCAACATGGCACAAAAAATGGTGGAGCACCAACAGCCGCAAACCAATGTCGACATGGCACAAAAATGGTGTAGCACATTACCCATAACAACTGTCGCGATGAAATTTCTTTATTAAAATAATGAGAAATTGTCTATTACCTTCCAAAGCATCAGATATTCAAACTATTCGTTACACAAACATTTCAGACGACGCAATTGTGCACAAGATTTTAATACAGACCTTGCAACCCAGCAGCATTGACACAAAATTTTTGGAGCACAAACAGCAAAAAACAACTTTTAACATAGCATCCATGGTTAGAATTTCTGGATTATCAAGCAATACAAAATATATGTAGAATTACTACTTCATAGGCATGAGATAATAAATTTTCCAAACACACTCATTTAACTTGACACAATTGTGCACAAGTTAAGACTCAACTCTTTACACAGCAGCACCGCTCTGCACACACACAGTGGCAGTTCGCAAGAAAAGCTTTGGCAGTTAATGCAATCAAAATTCAAGCAGGAAATTAATAAATTAGCTCCGCCAATCCACTTCTGACAAATCCCAGTTTATGACCCAAAAACAATGGAATCCTGGATACTATTTCCATAACAATATGATATATTTAATAAGCAGATAATTATCATCTAGTTTTCATGAAAGATTACTAAACCTGACCCAGCAAAACATTGATCTCAATCTCTGCGAGTTGAGGATTGAGTAATTAAGTCATTATTGGGACTTAATTATTATTACATTATTGGGACTTAATTATTATTACATTATTTTTGTCACTATATTGAAAACTAGATATTTTTGTTGATTGTAAATATTTTTATTTGTCACTATTGAGAGTAAGTATTTTTTACAGGCCATTAGAATTTATTCAGTATTTATATGCTACACCTTTAAAATCATACGCAAATGATTAGGTTTCATATACGTATCACGAAAGAGTAAAAACAATCATACTTACGTCGATAGCAAAACAAAGGATTCATGGCAAAACGAATCGTAGGTTTCATAACTAAAAGAACTAAGTGACTAACCAGATATTTTAAACTTCAGGCAGAAGTTTCATAACTGAGAGATAAATTACCCCATAGGTGTAACTTATCAATATTTTTAAATTTAAGTGTAATTTATCAATATTTTTAAATGTAAGAAATAAAACATCCTACTTCATCCATTGGATCAAATATTGACAACAGTTGTGAAATATAACGGTATAGACGCTTCTTGCCAATTTCAAATGCTTAGTCGGCATGTAAAGTTGAATAAAAAGAAGACAAAGTCCAGGTAGCATTGGTTCACAGCCTTTTTAGCGCATTTTCTCATTTATGTAAAAAATGGTGCTATTGTGCTCGCCATGTCCGTTCGTCCGTCTGTCTGTCTGTCTGTCCGTCCGTCACTTCACGTTTTCTTCGACGAGAAAATGCGCTCTCTGTCATTCACTGCTGTGAGTGCTGAGTTATATTTTTATGTACAGAATAGCTTGTCACCAACACTTGGCTTGCTGCGTTGCAATAAGGTTGTCGGCGGCGGCAGCGTTGGTGAGCACAGCCGTCAGCAACACCAGCAACTCCACCTGAGCAGCCAGGATCTTATCACGAACCTGCACAGGGTTAAAGTAATCTTCAATTTTATTCAAAAGAAGCATATCTGGATGCGCTACCGAGTCAATGATGACACTTGACTGCACTTAAATGAAAGAAAATTCCTTCATTCGCTGCCAACACTGTTCCTTCCTGCATTCGCTGCCACTTACCTAAATTACGGTATTGTATCTAGTAAATGATTATTTAACATACTATGTACTCATAAATTAGTATACAAATGAGCTCATTGAGCTTACTCAACCTATGAATGCTTGAAGTTTCAATTGTATAGCTTCAGAGGTGACAAGATAAGCAAATACTGGAAGAGAACAAAAACTTCACCTCAACATCCTGGGTGCTGGCAGCAATATCACTCAGCATGGTATTGAGCAAGAAGCTAAACCGTTCTGCAACAGGATGTCCTGGAAAGCAAACAATATTGCTTAGTCATTATATTTTCGTGAGAACATCCATGAGTGGCTTCTCCACCTGAAGATCTGGGTTGGATTCATTTATTGAAGAATACATAGCAGCTGTAATCAAATAGCATTAGGTCATTGAAGTAAAGCATTTTGTCAAAAATAACACTTTGAAATGGTGCAGAATTCTTGAGGGGTAATACAATAACCAGAACACAATGCATACTGGAAAGGCCATCACAAAACCACTCACATTCTGGTGTGGAAGACATCACAATTTCACCAACTTATCACAGTCTGGTGTGGAAGACACCACAATCAATCACAGTCTGGAGATGGACATGCATCAGCCCAAAAATGATGGAAACTTTATGCATTATCCTTAGGTTTCTAGCCTACTTTGAAATATAATAAATAACAGATAATTTATTCAATTCATCAAACTTCACAGAGCATAAATACCATAAAAAATGAATCCTAGAAAATCAAATATCTAGTGAAATTAAATAAGATTAAAGATTTTACTAAGATTACATTCAATTTACTAGGTAGACATTACACTGATTGCACATCATTGATTCAATGATTCCATACAAGAAAATAGAGAAGATAAACTCACACACACACACACACACATACACATCAATAATTATCAGTACGGTATATATAAACCGGAAAGAACATACCTATATACACTGTACCACTAGATTGCAAATGAGGCTTTTCATTGGGCCATTTACTCTTCAACATTAGCCAGCTTAAAATTATGAAATATTTTGAAATACATAGTAAGTACTGAATATCTTATATATTCTTATTTGCAATAAATATATAGTATTTAGTTATTAGGGCTATTTGAGTGCATATTCATGATGAATGTATTTACATACTGGCTAAATACCAGGATCTGAAGTTTAATTTTTGGTCATTGGATCATAAGGCATCATAATGAAACATGGCTTACATACACAAGAAGTAAAAATAATAAATTGGTTACAATAATAATAAAATAAATAAATAACAAAAAAAATATTAACAAATAATTTTCTTCAAACATCAAAATGTGATCAAATTTGGAGTCAATTGTTAAATAGGGGTTTGAATGAGCATAAACAACTTATAAATCTTACTAAAGGTGAAGAAACATGATTCTATAAAAAGTTGCCAATTCTCAGACATTATCAATCCTGAGCAGTACTGCCATAAACCTGTTAGTGTGATATTTAAAACAGTAACTGTTTAAAATTTTAATGCAGACAAGACTTACGGTCAGTGTGAACCAGAGGTTTTTCATCAAGCCACACAGCTTTTGGTAAACCTTTGAGCAGCTTGAGCAAATATGGCAGCAGCTTGTCCATGTGCTGCTGGTTGCTCTCCAGCAGGTACACACCAAGAGATAAGGTAGCATCTTGCCCTCGCTGGTTGATGCGGAACACACCCACAGTCTCGGAAGGACATAGTGCTAATATGCGCTCTACCTGCAAAATGATAGGGAGGCCTAATTTTAGGTTCAAGTGTTATTGCCATATAACTTCTGTTTTACTTCAAAGTATGATTTCCTGGCCAGTATGGCATTGGTCTTAAGCTCTTTCGAGACTTCACTATTACAATCAATTTAGATAGTATACACCGTATATGTATTTCAAGTTTAGATAAAAAATTAATATATAATGATGAAGATGAACTCTTCTAACTATCTAGAAACTAGAAAACATACGGTATATATATGAGCAATTAAATTTATATGCTGGAGAATTTTATAGCAATCCAAGCAAGAAATTACTTGACAATTTTAGAAACTAATTAAAACTATATTTTTTCATATTTTTAATAAACACTACTTATATACTATGGTAGTAATGGTACTAAGATTTACTTATCATGTTTGAGAATTTTTTTTTAAATCCTAAAGAAGTAAGACATAACAAAAAATGTTGTAACATAATTAGTAATTTTGTTATGTTTTCCTAACAACATTGACAAGGCCCTCTGCAGGGCAGGTTGGCCTGGTGGATGCAGTTCAGAGCACAAAGCTAGCAGTTAGCTATGGCTTGAACCCGGCTACCAGTGACAGTTGTGGTCATATCAGTAAGGACGCAGTTAAGTACATCAAAATTGGAGCAGTGAGTTGCCATGTTCAAGACAAGAGCACAGAAATTTTTATCTTGCTCACATTTGGCTTCTGTCCAATTCGTGAGTATGGGACAAACCACTATAATGAAAAATCATGGAAAAACCAGAATTGTTTGGCAGAATATTCCAAAAATTAGAGAATAAATTAGCATTCAACAGGCGATTTTTAAAAATTGCAGGCAAAAATATGCAGTTTTTCTCATTTTTTTGAAAGAAATTGGACAAGGGCCTCATAAACGGGTCAAATTGATCAAAAGCACATGTGTTTCTATCACATATACAGATGAAATTTGCCCAATTTTCCAGAATACTGGGAAGCCACCCATGAATTGGATAAAACTACCTGTAGTGCTCACAATCAATTTACATATTTTTATGGCCCTTGCCTAAATTCTCAAATAAAAAAATACATTTTTGCCTGGCACTTTTGAAAATAGCATTTAAGATGATAGTTTCTACCTATAGGTAATTTTTGAAAAATTCAGGCCAATATTACAGATTGGATTGATGAGCAGCTATGGTGTAGTTTTCCACTCGGCAGTATGAAACCCAGAAACAGAAGCAACTCAAAAGTCAATTTTAATTTTTTTTTTTCAATGGCACTTATAGTTGAAATTCACAAAGTTTTGATCACAGGAAACATTAATAAGATACTTGCCTTGTCTAATGGAGTTGGGTTGATCTTGCTCAAAGATCTTGCCAGCAGCAGAATAGTATTGTGAAAAAATGGTTGGCCATCAACAATCATCTTGATTACTAAGGAACATATTTGACACCAAAACTGTGGAGTAAATTTGCTACATTTTATTTAGATTTCATTACATTACACAAGTAAGCAAATTTATTTACCAGAGTCCAGTAGACAAGCATAAATTAGTAAACAATAAACATTAACCGTAACTATCTGGTATTTGTTAGAAATTAATGGTACCTTACATCACATGATCACAAAATTGTACCAATTATAATTTTAAAAATTTCATTCATCACAAAAACTAGGCAGAGGCCACAGGCTAGTCAAAGTCATGAATGGCATTAACCTTTGAGCAATGATTAACTAACAGATAAGAAAATAAACTAAATGTTACGTGTTAGTAGGTATTAGAAGAACACAAGGCAACTCCACACCATCAGTGCCAATAGATCAAGGTATTTGCATCTGATTTTAACTGAACAACTTTGGCACAACACAAAATAGAGAAATGGTAATGAGTTTTGCATATTTAGTCGCATTTAACATTCCCTAAACATCACCAAATAATTTATAACCAATAGCCATGCTGTTTTTACAACACTTCTCTTTAATTTCAATTCTCACTGTTTGTTTGTCTGTCTGTCTACTACAAATCTTATAATCAATATTTAACACACTTCTACCTGTCCAATCGATCTGAAATTTGGCACACTTGCATAAAGTTGGAGACAATGCATGAATAAATTGACAGAATAAATGATTTAAGAATTAATAAACTTTTTTTACAATTGTAAAAAAAATTGAAAATAATTTTGTCAGCTAGGTACAAATCTTATTATTGCTTTTTGATACACTTCTACCTCTCCAATCAATCTGAAATTTTGCACACCTGCGTAAAGTTGGAGACAATGCATAAATCAATTGCCAGAATAAATAATTTTATAAACTAAAAATTTTTTTTTCATTATTAAAAACATTTTCAAAGTAATTTTGTCTTCTACAAATCTTATAATCCATACCGTAAAATGGGGTAACTTTGACCACTTTTTTTTCATGGCTGCCATTACGTGGTCAAAGTTCCCCCATTGGGGGGCGGCGCCCCCATTTGCAAACTATGACACTTTCCATAAATTTTTCTTTTGCATATGTAACTAGAAGAGTTCTACTACAATGCATCAAAACCTGATTAGATATGCAAACTTTTTAAATCTTTCTATTGTGTTACGTAGCCTCAGTATTAGGCCTTTAATGGCCATTGACAAAATTTTTCTATGTCAAATAATTTTTGAGTTTTGGGGTTTTTGTTAAAAAAACGAAAAGTGGTCAAAGTTACCCCGCCAGTCAAAGTAACCCCATTTTACGGTATATGATACAATTTGACCTGTCCAATCTATCTGAAATTTTGCACAATTGCGTAAAGTCAGAGACAAAGCATGAATCAGTTGGCAGAATAAATAATTTTGATAATTTACAAAATTTTGATATCTTAAAAAAATTTGAAAAATAATTTTTTCAATATTAAAAAAAACGTAAAATAATTTTTTCAATATTTGAAAATAAAATTATAAATTCATGGTACATGTGTAACATCCAAGACACTGGATTGTTCAGAAGTGTTTTCTTTAAAAAGTAATTTTTAAATGCATATTTGTTAATCTTCAGTCATAGCACATGCAATGCTTGCCTTTGAAGGCAAATAAAATTTAAAAACCTCCCATAACCCCTGGCCAAATCTGTACGTTTGATGAATGGCACTTGTTTTAATTTATTTCAAGGCTTTTGGTACAAAGAGATCCCACCTACCAGCCTGAGCATAGTAAATGATTTTTGCCAAAGTCCCTATATTATCTTGCCACTACTTCTTTCAGTTTAATTTTTGGCACACTCTCATCAGCCAGGGACTTTAGTGTGGAAGAAGAGACAAAAGAATTAATGGAATTTTTTTGGAGAAGCCATGTGATAGCCCTTGCAAAGAGCTTTGAAATGAGCCTAAACTTGTTTATGAAATGTTTCATGGTAAGAAGTTATGAATGAAAAACTTTCGAAATCGTCCCGAGTAGCCCCGGTTGACGGTATGTTGGGGAGAACAATGTTTCCCAAAGTCTTGAAAGCAATTTTGTACAAGTACAGGAAACATTGAATTAACTGTAGAGCTCAGCAAGTCTAAGCAGATGATGGAGGAAAGATCAACATGGGAGAGTGCATTTCGTTACTGATTCAGAAAATCGGACATTAGAGTTAGAACATAAATTGACAGTTGTGCTAAGTTCAGCATGCATGAAAACCCTACAAAAGAGGGTTCATGCTCTCTCTAGTCTCAGCCTTGTTGCACAGACATCATCAGGTTTTTCTTTGACATCATCAGGTTTCTTCATCAAGAAGTTTCTTGCAAGAAACTAGCTCATCCTTTGCTTTTATAATAACTCTCAAGGTTGCAAAGGAGCTCTCATTTGCCTTTCTGGAACAACTGAGGAACCCAATTAGAATTTAGCTTGTTGACTCATAGTCTCATAATGATAAGAGGCCAAGCCTGAGACTTAAGGAGGACTCAGGAGGAGGAGGGCTTGAGTCTGCCACAATAGAAGAATAGGAAGCAACTGAAGCATGCAAGCTTGCCAGTTGTCACAACCCAACCAGGTTCAGAACCAGGAGCCTGTCTTAGAGTCAGTTATCGGCTTTGAGCTGATAACTGAACTTCTTGAAACAGCCTGAGCATGAGCAGTGGCCAGTGAGCAGTGAGCTGCTGAGCATAGGAATGATAGGAATACTAACCAGTGGTACGCAGATTTTTACTGCAATAAATAAAGCTTTCAAAGTGAAAGAGCACTCTGGAGAATTTGCAGCATTGAATATTGCATTTACCTACAAGTAAAAATTTTTGGTATGCAGATTTTGCAGGCTTTACAGACAAAGAACAGGTAGCCTAGCCACCCTAGGCCCTAGTGGCCCTAACATAACATAACATAGTGATGTCGGCACTGAAGCGTAGGCCTGATGTGGCCTGTCGCCGATTCTTTTCCTTTTCGTGCCTTGTTCACAGAAGATCTAAAATTGTGTCATTTGACCGGATCTTTTCATGACTGACGATACTCGATAGTTTGAAGTAGCTACTGGACTTACACCAGGTTCGATAAGGAAATCGGGCGTTTCAAATCTGAACATATACGGTACCTACCTATTCTTCCATAGCTTAATCTAGTCTGTTCATGAACGCATTGATACTTGGAGCGCCAACGATGTCATCAGGGAGGCTGTTCCACATGTCGGAGATTCGAAGCAAGAATAAATTTTGTCACGTGAAGTTGCAGCGCAGTTTTTTTAGCCTATAGCCATGGCCCCTGGTGTTGGTTCTTATTTCAAATTCTAGTAATCCTTCGGGGACCTTGTATCATAGTGGCAAACCAGTGATTTTTTAGAATCAGCTCATTTTTAATTTCCTCGTTTACTCCAGATTTTAACAGATTTCTTATGTATGATAATTCTGGTATCCAATATACTTTACTGGTCTACTTATAGGAGTCAAAAATGAACTTGAGGAAGAGTCTAAAAATCTCTCTGTTTTGCCACTATGCCTTGTATAGACTATGGAGTACCATATAGACCATGAGTATACTTGTATATGTAGTGGCTAGGCTAGATAATATTCTAGTGTACAATCTCCAAGCTGAGAGACATTAAAATTCCCCTGAGATTATTAGGTGTAAAGCTGTACTTTGTAAACATGACAATGCTCATGAACTTCCCGGCCAACAGCTGCCGCAAACATATTAAGACAAGATAATTGTCATTGCAAGCCAGCAAATCACGGCCAGTCCATACCTACAAAGTGTTCTGATAATTTTACAACAGTTTTAAGCCAGTAATAATAAAGAATATTTGTCAGCAAATCATATACCGGTACCTAATAAGTGTAAGCTAAAAACCTCCCTCACGCGACTCTGGCAACATAGGAGGTCAAGCTCCGGAACCGGGAACTGCAAAGGTGCTACTTTGAATCAAAGTGCGCTGCGCTTGGGCAACTTAAAAGACATCTCCAGGATACATATTCAATTAACCACTGGCACTGGCCACTGGGTGAGTGATCATCAATGATGCAACCTTGCTTTAGATAAATTCTAGCCTTTGCATTTAAAATCGAGTGCTAATCCCTAGCGCCGCCACCTAGCGGCCTAGCCTATCCATGGTAATCCACCAAGGACCAAGTCACCAAGCTAGGATCATTTGACATTTGAGTAGGCTATGCTATGCAGTATGCACTATTTATATAGGTGTATACTCAATATATAGGTAAAAGGTATACCTGCAGCTGCAAGGCTGCAACTGCATCTGCAAGGCTGCAATATAATGGTAGGTATAGTGACTATTAACTATAAAGGTTTAGCGTGGGCCGTGGAGTCTTTGCTTTGTAACTTTGATCAGCAGTTCTATCACTGATGAGATGAGTCGGAGAACGGAGAGTAAACTGTCATAAGTCTTTCAACAGTTCATGGCTTCCTTGAAGATATCTTCCGGTGTTTGGCAGACGCAGAAGAGTGAAAAAGACTCGAGTCACTCGACCATGCCTTTCTACCTTTTCTACAATTTCCTTTCGTTAAACAAGTTGCAGTGCAGTAATAGAGGCTTGCACCGGGCACTATGTCTATGGACTAAGACTATGGTTTCAGTTTCAGATAAATTAGATTTTCAACGAGACAACTTCACACGTCATTCACCATGGGCCATGAACAATCCAAGTAAACCCCATAACTGACTTCCAATGAACGTCAGCTACGTCTGTCGTCACAGTCACTGACATCAGCAGATCACAGCTGTTCGATGGCATCTTCCGTAAGTTATACAGTAAGTGTTAGAATAGTCTTACCAGATAATGAATACTTCTTGTTTCTACACTTGGCACACTAGGTTCTATGAATTTACAAGCAAAAGATATTTCGATTGGTTCTGATTTTTTTTTTTTCGCACTTGCTTTTCAACACTTCGGCACAACACGTCTTATCACCATGAACAATCGATGCAAACTTCCATGGCATGAACAATCAGAGTAAACCCCACACAACTGACTGAACGTCAGTTACGTCTGTCGTCACACTGTCACTGACATCAGC